TTTATTATATTATACTGATATGCTTCCTCATTTTATAGGAATGAAAACTGAGATTCAGAGATAGGAAGTAAATTGTCCAATATCACAGAGCAAGTTAGTATCATAAGAGGAACCAGATCCTGGGTCATCTGAAGTTTGATACTATGCCTTTCTCCACTATAGATACAGTTCTTCCCACAGTGAAAAGAAAGAAAAAATAGTTCACAAAAATGCCATATTAACCTAAGAGGAACATGATCTCCCTAAAAAAGAGAGGAGTATTTACAAATAATAATAATAATAATAATAATTTTTATAATGATAATTAACAACAAATACAATAAGGAAATAAATATTTCACTGATGATTTGCCTTCATGAAGTCCATTTTCTTGACTGGTTTATTAGCATCATTGAATAATGGAATTTCCAAGCTGGAAGGGACCTTGAATCTAGATCAATCCTTTCTCATCCATATTAAGGATGAGAAAATTGAAGCCTAGCTAGGTCAAATGACTTTTCTAAGTTCAGAGTGATATACAGAAACAGTATTGGATTGGGAATAAGAAGACCTGGTCTTAGCTTTGCCACTAAGTCACTGTGACCTTGTAAAAATCATTGAAAGCAAAACACTATTTTTTTCAAACACTTAGGGAGTAATTCTTGGGGATGAGGAGAGGGGCATAGATGACATAAAGAAAGGGCAAGTAGGGGTAGTTGGATGGCACAGTGAATAGAGCACCAGCTCTGGAGTCAGGAGGACCTGAGTTCAAAATTCGCCTCAGACACTTGATCACTTGATTCTTACCAGCTGTGCTACTCTGGGCAAGTCACTTAACCCCAACAGCCTCACACACAAAAAAAGAGGGGTAAAGCAGCAGCATCTTCCTTTCTGTCTAGTTGTTGTTGTTCAGTCATTTTTCAGAAGTGTCTGACTCTTCCTATTTGGAGTTTTCTTGACAAATATACTGGAGTGGTTTGCCTTTTCCTTGAGTGAAATGATTATTTCTCTCTTATATTAATAACCAATTATTAAAATTGGGGAGACCCCAGTTTTTTCCCTGTCCTATTTCTTTGTCCAAGGTCTCAAGGACAGGGCTGATAGAAGATAGGATTAACATTCTCCTTATTCAGGGTATTGCTACTCCACCCAACTATATCAGACTTCTTATCTAAGGTGAAACTCCCTTCTTCTCAGGCTTGTGGGGGATAAATTCTTTGAACAGATTGTCCAAGGCCTTGGGTAATTTAAGAAGTAAATAACATAATCAAAGTTCAGGTCCAGCCCCTCACTGTAATATTCATTCTCTCACTAATTATTAACCCATCAGAGTTAATTGCCACCCTTGTGAACACCCCTCTTCCAATAAGCATATAAGTCATGACCCTGCCTGTCATGACTGTCTTTGGTCTAATGGAGAGATGGCCAAATGACCATCTTTTATTAATAAATATGCTGGTATTATTAATAAAATGATTAAATTACCCAGAAATTTTATGCCTCTTGAACCTTTTTAAATGTTACATCCTTCAACTCATGTTATAAATGAGGAAACTGAGGCAAACAGGGTTAAGTGACTTGCTAAGGGTCATATAGCTAGTAAGTATCTGAAGCCATATTTGAGCTCAGGAAGCTGAGTCTTCCTTACTCCAGGTCTGGTGCTCTATCCATTATGCCACCTGAGGACTGAAGCCTAAAGGTGGGCGGTGAGAAGAAATTCAGAGACCCAGAGAGAACTGTCAGAAATCACCAGGCAACATCTTCCCCAGAATGTGTCTTTTTCATAAAATAAGAGTTTTCAGTGCAAAAATGTTCACTTTCAAAGAAAAAACATTTGTTTCAACAAGAAACATAGTTAAAAAAAAGAAGAAGAAGCAAATGCTTCAAAGACTGCAGCCAAATCAACCATTTCCTTCTAGTTCTTAAGATATTTTGTAAATGGAAGAGAAGGGATTATGGAGAGGTGATCTGGCAGCCACTGGGAGAGGAGCCTGGGGGAATGAAAAGAGGTGTTAGTGCTGTTGACCACAAAGGTTTTGCAAAACACTGATTCAGTCAAAACACAAAGGCTTTTTAGGAGATATCTGAACCTCTTCACAATGGCTCCGAGCATATGCTTTAAAAACATAATACAAAGTCTCCAGAAAGCAAAGGTGATTACTTTCCTATATTTTACATCCTCTTGAATCTGCCCTGCAGCTCCTCTGCATATAATCTTTCCGATCAGCATGTGAGCTCTTGAAGACCAGGAATAGTCTTGCTTTCTACCTGTGTCTCTCTATACACAGCAAGCACTTAAGAAACATTTTTCCATTCCATTCTTACTTGAACTAAAGGAAGCGTTTCCTTCATAAAATTAGTTGATGTTTGCAAAAGACAGTTCAAGATCCAAGACCAGCAAAATCTTGAAATATGAACTTAATTATCTTTTTTTAATTCCTTTCCAGTCTATTTAAATCATAGAGCTACATTTTTAAAATTATTTAAATAATAGGGTCCAGATTATAAAACCTATCTTTTTTTTCTTGGAGCAAACCATACAGTGCTCTCTTTAAAAATGCAGACTGGCACTTTCTTGACCATTTACATGTTAATATTAATATTAATAATCATTTATAGATTATAGATTTTATACTTATACTTAAGTCCATCTGCTAAATTATGGAGAGGTTGTGATTTGTATCCATAGAGGGGATACACCACACTAATTAAATTACAGATGATTCAATTAAATCAATTGAATTAAGTATTTACTAAATGTCCCACCCTTTGTCTAAGACATTCTACTGCCGGGCCTATAAACTGCAAAGAGTTTAAAGACCAAAAGAATGAGTTACCATACACACCAAAACAGTCATAGGGCACTATGTCCATTAACTAGGAGATAGTTAAATAAACTGGGGTATATGAAACTAATACACCATCAGATATAATTAATATGAAGGGTTTAGAGAAACTTAGGAAGACTTTTATGAACTGATTCAGAGTGAAATATAGAGAGCCAGGAAAATACACACAGTAACTACAATAATGTAAATGGAAAGAACAGAATAACAAAACTGAAAATCATATAATTACAGTAACCAAGAATATCATGTAGACATCTCAAACTCAACACATCCTCAAATTCAATACTACCTTTCCACAAAAACTACCCTCTCTTTTTCTGAACTTCTTTGTCATTGTCATGGGGTCAATCATACTTCCAGTCACCCAATATATTGATTCAATATTAGGAAACTGTCACCAAAATTTTAAAAATTCTCAAGTATTCTTTTTATGTTCATTTTGTCAACATGTCAATCAGCAGGTATTTATTAAGTGCTTACTATGTGTCAAGCATTCAGACATCCAACTTGCTCTCAGGAACCTCCTTAGATCACTTATTAAAATGTCTGATACGTACACAATCCATATTTAATTCATATTTATAACATCTGTGCCATGGGGCAAGGGAAATTTACACAAAGCATCCTTCAAATACTTGCCATATAGAACAAAGAGTCTCTATACAGCAAATCCTACTTTGTCAGTAAATTCATTTGCAAAAGTCTCAAGGTGTTTCCTTAGGGAAAATAAACCCCCCAAGATACTGAGCTAGAAGAAAGAATTAGCTATTGACATTTGTAGTACCCATAATTTGGGGAAAACAGTACTGGAGGAGAGCATCCTCACCTAAAAGTCACTTTTCTGTTATAGAACTGTGGTGAGAGAATAGAACCCTGGATAGCGCTCTCCCTGCACAATGGATCTGCTCCATTGCATTTGTCAAACACTCCCCTCCTTGGGTTTTGGTTTTTGGTTTCTTGTTTGTTTGTTTATTTGTTTGTTTTGGTCATGAAAAAAGTTTCTACCTGACAGCCCCCTATCAACCAGGTGTACAAAATTACTAGAAGTTTGCTGATTTTCTGGAGGTCACATAGGGTCTCGAGGGTAATTATAGGCAGAGTTGGGTTCCCCTTCCCCCTCCTCTTCCTTTTGTAAAGGTATTTAACATATATAATGAATATGGTCTCATATACAATGAATATAGTCTCTAAAAACCACACTGTAGCAGTGGGTATATTATCTAAATCCTACAATTTCCAGAGGGATTGGCATTCAAAGCCTTCCACAAATGGGATCCAATCTACCTTTCCAATCTTATACTCTGCAGGCAAACTAGACTGTTTACTTTTCCCAAAGTATTTCACTATCCTTATTCCAATACTTATGACACATTCACTCACCATTTCAACCCAGTTACATCTTAACTATCCTTTAAGGTCCAACTCAGATGCTATTTCCTCCATTACAACTTCCTTGATCGCCTGTCAGAGAGGATCTCCCCTTCCTCCAAAGTCTCACAGCACTGAGTCCATATTATGTTTATATCTCTTTCTGTGCCTAGAAAAATACTTGCACAGAGTAGGCACCTGACTGATATTTATTTAACTGAATTCAACTGGATAAGAAAATCAGTTTCATAACTTGGCCCCTTTATACATTTCCATTCTTCATCTTTCTTACTACCACCTCCATTCACTCTTCAATCCAGGCACACAAGTGTCTCACCCAAGACCCTCTACCTCCCAACTACAGACATTTTTATTGATTGTCTACCATACTTGGAATTCTCCCTTCTTCATCTCTGGCTCTTGGCTTCCTTTAAGCCTCAGCTAAAATCCTACCTTCTTCTGCAAGAAGCCATTCCAGAACTCCTTAGCCTTAGTGTCCTCCTTCTCAGACCATTTGAAATTTATACCATATAAGTCTTCTTTGCACATAGCTGTTCGCATTTTGTCTCTTCCGTTAGACTGTGAGTTCCCCAAGGGAACTACTTTTGTGTTTCGTTTTTGTAATTGCTGCTGGATATTGGTTGGGTTTATTTTGCTTTGTTTTTGCCTTTTTTTGTATCCCCAGCACTTAGTACAATGTCTGGCACACAGTAGGTGCCTAATAAATGCCAGCTGATTTGACCACAGTAATATGAAGTTGCATGAGAAACTTGGGTTGGGGGAAATGGAATGCGTCAGTCTCACCTCCAGTAACTTGTGATCCTGGAGGGGATCTTTCTCAAATAATATCAGAGCTTTCTGCATCAAGTAGATTGCTTTGGATATTTGATTCTTGTTGATTTTTTTCAGTACATACAATTCTGTAAAATAAAACTCTCATTTCAGATAGGATCATGTGAAAACATTCTTCTATCAAAACTGGATCAATATCCTGTCCCAGCCTATGTAATTTGTGTCCAATTGGGTCTACATTTTACCTGTGAAGTAACTAGTGCTGGCAGATTCTTTTGTATATTGAGCTTCTTTGGGACAGCCAGGTTTCTGGAGAGTTGAGTCCCAAGCTGGAAAAGAAGACAACTCACCATTAGAGTTAGGTCTATGTCTGAAAAAGTTATCGTTCTCCGTAACAGACATCTAGAAATCACAGGAGCTTTGTTGTACTCCCCTTTGGCAGTCTGGTGAAGCCTACAGGCTCCTTCTCAGAACCATGTTAGGAAATGCATAAAACAAAATAGAGTATTGCTAAAGATAATAATTATGTTGAAATATAGTTATAAACATATTTTTTTAAAAGTTCACAGGATCTTAGGTTAAGAGTTCCCGAGCTATGGATTTTAAAATACTAGTGCTTCCATCATACTTCCCTTGTTTTTCCCGACTGACAGAAAGGAAAATTAATTTGGCAGCCAATTTCTACTGCTATATGGGCTATGGGCTTATTTATGTTTCTCACCCTTATTTGCTAGTATATACCTAACTCTAAAAGGCAATTAATTTTTACTTTACATCTTAAATATATCAATAACCTGATGTTGGGAGGTCTCCCTTCTGCTTTGTAAAATAGGGGCCCCTATCTCAACACACACACACACACACACACACACACACATATATTTCTGTCTTGGTCATTGCCAATAGTAATGAGTTAGCACATTCCAGGCCACCAAAAGTTTTTAGCCTATGGTCATGGTTTAGTTCACCAATACTACTGAAGTGTCTCCTACCTGCCCAGCCCTGTGCTAGGTGCTGTGAGAATATACAGACCATGTGACTTATTCCCTGGCCTTCTGGAGTGTTTAGCACTATTGGAGAGATGAAGCTAGTGTGTGAGTAAATTTTATATCACATTAATTGTTGTTGTTCATCCTTCATTCTCAAATAGGAGGGTGATGTCCTAACTTGCTAGTGAATTGGATTTAAGGGAGAGAGGGCTGTGCAAAGTCACCAGCCTCACTTCTCCTCCAGAGTCATCTGGATCCAGTGGCAAGACATAGGTCAGGATGACTGGAGATGGCCCAGATGCTGTGGGAGACCACAGCATTTTTAAGCTAAGGTCTTTCTCAGGTCTCATTTTGTCTGAGGCAATACCCATTCAGCAATTTAAGGCTAGGTAAAAAATGAGGCAAAAGATGGCCTGCTTTGCCTACTCAAAAAAAATCAGTCTGGGAGGGGGAAGACCCCCAGGATTTCTGGCCAGAATAGAAACAACTGCTATTTACACTCACTCGGAGCCACCAAAACCCAAACAATGAACAAGTGAGGCTTGGGTTAGGACCTATTATTAGCATTACATGACGTACAACAAGAAGACCAAGGAAGACAAGAATCCTATCTCTTGTCTGCTCTTCAAAACACATCCTGAGCACTATGTTCCATACACCACAGTTTAAGAAGCTCAGTATGAAACCGGATCATGTCCAAAAGATAACGATCAGGTGGGTGAGGGAACTCAAAACTCGTCATATGAGAAAGAGCACTGATTCCAGAGTCAGAGGATCTGGGTTCAAAACCTGTCTCCCAGGTTTACTACACCAGTTTCCTAATCTGTAAAATGTGAAGACTGAACCAGAATTATCTAGGATTTATAACTATGGATTTTACCAAAAGCACTCCAGCAGATTTGCTAAGGACAGCAGACCTCTAACATAAAGGAAATGCACTCCATTTAAGGTCAACAATGAAGGTCCCAATTTCTCAAACGAATCAAATGAACAAGTGGTAAATTAAATGTCACAGAACGGTCAAAGGAAAGCTTTTTTTAGGAGTATGCTAACCTAAACATGTTCATAGATAAAGCAGAAGGAACCAATGGAAAATAAAGTAAAGATTTAGGAGAGTAAGGGGACATATTACTAAGGCTTGGTGGGAAGGAGTAAAATCAGAGAAATGGGGTTAGCCTCAGCAAAGGGCAGGCATGCTTCATCTAAGACAGGAGGGTAAGAAAAAAAGATAAGTGATGATGCTGAGAAGTTTTGATGGACAAAACAGAGAGAAGGAGAAGGAAGGAGCTCCCTCTGAGGTGAATCAGGCTCAGGAAATACTATAGGAAGCTAAATCATCATCTGTGTTTCTTGAATATAGCCATTCATTTGTTGTAATGACTTTCCCACATAGTGGGCACTTAAAAATATTATACTTAAGATGGCTCTACAAAAAAGGCTCAAAAGAAAATAATTTGACTTGTGTCCAAAAGATCGATCAAATCTAAACTATGTAGTCATTCTGAAAAAAAGACACTATACCCACCTTTGAGAAGATACCAGAGCTAGCAGGAGGGAATTATGGTGTGTTGAAGAGATAGTTTATGGGAAGGAAGAACATCCTCTTCATCTCAAGAGATGAACACTGTACAGAAGCAGTCTGTTCCATCTGGAGATGCTTTTCTGGGCAAACCTTGACATCTCAGTGAAAAACTATATCCAATTTATATTTCCTATTTTTAAAGATTATATACCATCACAGTATTATGAGAGATAGTGTGATGTAAGGAACAGCCAGCAAGACATTTGATTGTATTGTAGGATATATCTGAAGCATTAAGAAGTCAGTTTCTTCCAGAAAGGGGAATTGGGAGTTGTCACCAAAGCCAAGACAACCTGGGTGTACTCCAGGCAATTTTTAAGATTGCAGAGAAGATGCAGACCTGTAGTGGTAGAGGGAGCTTCCTTATCCAGTGAAACCACAGGCCCAAACCCTATCCCCAACCCCAATATCATAGGACCACAGCTTTAGTGTTGGAAAGGACCCAAGACCACCTAGCCCAACCCTCTCATTTTATAGATGAGGAAGCTGAGGCCCAGAGAGATTGTGATATGCCAAAGGTTACCAAGGCAGTGAGGGGCAGATCCATCACTCCCCACTGCCCCCCATGCCTCAAAATAGAACATTCTCAAGACAACTACCCCCCCAAGTAGAGCACTCTGTTGCCTTGGTCAAAGCAATTAACCACTCACTGTTCAGCACATCTTTAGGCGACTGTCTTTTAACTTACAGAAAACATAGCTATTTTTACTTCTTTAATTGATTTAACCAAGCCTTCAAAGTATGGCCCTGCTAAGAACAAAATCAGCCCACAGGGCAAAATAATGAGGGAAGAAAATCACGGTTCCCGAAATCGTAGGAGGGCAGTGGAAGTGAATGTACCACTCAATACAGTAGTACAAATTAACGACATCATATATATCTGAAAATAAGGGATGTGTCATTAAAAACCTAAATTGTTTATAATTTCAATCCCTGTTATGTCGATGAGCAAGCTGGGAGGTGCTCCGATATCGTTTCACCAAAGACTGATTTCCATTTACTTCCCATTTTCCAATGTGTGCCATAATGAAGGGTGCTCTCAGGACCCAATTTAAGCTTTGATTTATTGTATTATCTGTACTTCAAATCAGGCACAGAGTTTTCACACTCTACAATCATTTGGGGAATCACAGTTATTTTAAATTGTACTGTTTCAAATTAACCAGTATCTGGATTAAATAAATTTTAGTGCATGTAAAAAATCTGACAAAGTCAGTCTTAAACTTATAAAAGGAAGTAGATCAGAGTCTATTCAGGGCAGATTCTTCAAGTCTATTCTCCAATTAGTCAACATTTTATAGCAGAAAAAGGGTAGATACATATGACTGTAAGAAATGGAATTATGCAGGAACAAACAGAATGGTCTTGTCAAACTGTAACCCAATGCAGGAAATAATTCAGGCTTGAATATCATCATCATCATTTATAATAGCTATCATTTATATAGTGTATTAAATTTTGCAAAGCAATTTACAAATATTATCTCATTTGATCCTTATAGCAACCCTAGCAATTAGGCGCTGTTATTATCGTCCCCCATTTTATAGATGGGAAAAATGAGTCAGACAGAGGTTAAATGACTTTCCCAGGGTCACAGAGCTAGTAAATGTCTAAGGTCAATTTGAACTCAGGTCTTCTTTACTCCACTGCATCACCCAACTGCCACTGCGTTCTGAATATAGCTGACAACACTGATATGTCAGCTAAGTTGTCAGCATTATTCAAGAGAATGATTCTAGAGAAGACATTGTTTCTTCCAGAGGATTATGGTGGATTGAGAGCGGGCCTCTGTGTCAGAGAGAACTGCATTCAGATCCTGCCTCTGGTTCATCCTGGCTGTGTGACCCTGAACAAGTGATTTCACCTCTCAGCCCCACTCCACTCCACCCTACCCCCGCAACTCTCTAAGACACTAACTTGCAGAGCAGGTGGTGATCTGCACAGGTGGAGGGAGTTTCCTCACTGGGAGCTGCCTTTATCCTTGAAATCACAGGGCCAGGCAAAAATAAGCCAACGTCCAGCAGCATAAGGGGAACCTCCCACTGTCTCTTGACTAGCCAGATCCTATTTCATTCCTGGGTCCCACATTTAAGGAGGGGCACTGATAAAGTGCAGGGTGACCAAGGGAAGGTGAGGAAGATGCACACTTCTCCATCTGGCTGATCATGGCGTCATTAGTCACCCAATGGCCCACGAGAGGATATCTTGATACTCTTGCTGCCTCTTCCCTCTCCCTTACTTCCTACATTGGATCTATTATGAAGTCCTCCTGATCCAACCTACATCATAGCCCTCCCACTCATTTCATGGACTTTCAAACCCAGCTTCAGACACTTCCTAGCTGTGGAACCCTGGACAAGTCACCACATCTCTGTGTGCCTCAGTTTTCCCATATGTCAAGTTGGGCCCACCTTGATCTACCTCCCGAGGTTGTTGTGAGGATCAAAGGAGGTAATATTTGGAAGGCACTTAGCACAGTGTCTTACACATAGTAGGTGCTACATAAGTGCTTAGTCCCTTCCTTTTCTTTCCCTTTCTGTTCTAATAAGTCCTCATTACTATCTGTCTGCACCCTAGTGATACCTTCTGAATCAATCAATTGATTGATTCAGTATTTATTAAGCCCCTTCTATAGGCCTGGCACTGTTCTAGGCACTAGAGACATAACAGACAAAAAAGTAAAACAGATTCTGCCCTCAAAGAGCTTACATCCTATTGGGGAAGACAACATGTATACTTGCAATTATATATTATATATAATGCATATGATGTAATTATATATAAATATACATTTATATATACACACACATATCTATATCTATCTATATCTATATCTATCTATCTATATCTATCTATATCTATATCTATCTATATCTATATCTATCTATATCTATATCTATCAATCTATATCTATATCTATCTATATCATAGATATAGATAGATATAGATATAGATTGATATAGATAGATAGATATAGACAGAGACAGAGACAGAGACAGAGACAGAGACAGAGACAGAGATAATGCACCAGACAACAGTGGGGGAGAGGAGCAAAGATACTAGGAAGGGCAAGGATCAAGAAACGGCTCACATAGAAGGTGATGCTTGAACCAAGCTCTGGAGGTAATTAGAAACTCTATAGAGGCAGAGAGCTTCTACCCTTCTAACCCTAACCTCCAGTCTTTGCCCCCAAATCCATTCTTCATAGCCAACTAAGTTAATCTTCCTGATGCACAGGTCCGAACTTTTCACTCTTCCATCCAAAATCTTCCCAAGGCATCCTGTTGCCTAATGGATAAAATCCAACAAAATCTATCGGCATGGCATTCAAGGTCCTCAGTCTACTGGGCATCCCTCTAGCTTTGTCTCAACTGCTCCCTTCTCACATCTGTGCTCAGCCCAAACCAGGTTACTCACCATCACTCCTACGTATCCATTAGTCACCGAGTATTTACCTAGTAAACCCTCCCTAATCAATAAAGTCCAACAGCTTCCTAGTGCCTCCAAGATTAAATACAAAATGATGCATTTGGCATTCAAAGCCCCTCATAACCAGCGCCGTCCTACCTTTCCAGTCTTCTTCCACCTCACTCTCCAACACATACTCTCATCCAGTGACACTGGCATCCCGGCTGTTCCCCAAACAAGGTGCTCATCTCTAAGCTCCAGGCATTTTTTCTGGCTGTCTCCCATACTTGGAATGCTCTCCCTCCTGCACTCCAAGTATTGACCTCCATGGCTAGTGTCATTTGTAGGTGTGTGTACATGTATATCATTTGTGAATGTATATACACATGTATAGCAGGAAGAGGGGATATGTAGATAGAGAAAGACATTGCTATGTCATCTCCCCATTTGTAAGATCAGGCATTAGGTGACTTACGTTTTTATCTCCCCCAGTACCAAGTGATAGATTTTTTTTTTAAATGTTTTAATCCTGAAGTGAATTTAACATGATTGGTTAAAGGCTCTGGAGAAGAGGTAGCCAGGGCCCAGCACATAGCTAGCCCTTAATAAACGTTTTATCATTCATCCATCCAAATAATTTACATTTTACGATGTGCTCTCCGTAGAAGTCAGTGGGTGGTTAATGTAATCATTAGTCTCCCCATTTTATAGAGATGAGGATTGGACAGCTCTGAGAAAAGCGACTGGCCCCACATCACCAAGCTGCAAGTCAAACCCAGGTCTCTTACTCCAGTTCAATGCTACTTCCTCCTCTAAACATCTGAAGGGTTATCACATCAGCTCCAGAAGGGAAAGTCAGAACCAATGAGGAGAAGTTAGAGGGGGAGATTTCAATTCCATTTGAGGAAAAACTAATTAACAACTACAGCTATCAGAAAGTGTAGAGTTTTCTTGTCCTGGAAGTCTCTGGGCAGAGGGTAGACAGATAAGCACTGGCTATGGGCGTGATGCCAAGGAGCCAGGCCATCAGACAAGCAGCAAGACAAGAGATGACCTCAAGGAGGGCTCATCTCCTTTTAGGAGTCTGTGTATTTTGAGATCCTTACATAAAAGGCATTTGTACACTACATGCCTTCCCTGACCAATCCCAAAACCCCATGCCCGATTCATAAGTGCCTCAATTGGCCCATTGTCTCTACGCTGGCTACACCCACCAATGCTCTGACTATACTCCTCAGCCAACACCCTGCCATCCACATTGTTGCTACAAGCACACCCTCTCCCCTGGCTTCTTCGTTCATTCATTTGGTAATAGCACAGCCAATAGAAACTGATGTCTCACCTTCTCAATAAGACCCAAGAAGCTTATGTTACTAATACTCTACCGTAACTCATAAAATGTTACTCATTTATTTAAATGTGTTATTTCTTAGTTCACTGACACATTATCACAAGATTTAGTCAGGGTTTAAAATACTATTATGAATGAATCATTAATAACTTACATTTTAACTCTAATGGTGTCTTGGTACAAATCAATTAAATTGTCATACAAATCAGAGAAGGGAAGGGAAAAAAACATTAAAACTTGATTTCTTATGCATTAAAGAGTTGGGGGGAAGGAGTTAGTTAACAGATGACTTTCTTGTTAAACTAGTTCTGGAACTGAATTTGACCCAGAGCTGATCCAACATTGGGAAACTACATGTTAGTAACTGATACCTTTGAGTTGGTCAAGGAGCGTAACACTTATCCGGTGCTGAGTCAGAATGATTTCGAGCTGCAAGTCCATGATCAAACTGTTGGCAGTGAGTGACTTTCCAGAAATTCTATCTTCTGTTGGAGGGATGACCTTTTGTGCATGTAAGTGACATGAAAATTAAAGGGAAACAGGATTACCCAAACACTAAAATGAGCACAAAAACCCCCAAACAAACAAAAACCCCAAGAATCAGTTATAAAATAATGGACAAAGTCATTCACCCTAACAAATATCTTTTCCTCATAAGGTCAGCTCCTGGAGAAATTGTGAAATGGGAAGTTTGCCTTCAGGACCGCCCTTTCAATGGCTTCTTCTGGTGGTCCTGCTCCCCCCCACAATGTGTCATGCCTGTCTTGTTTTCTATTCCCACTGTGCCTTCTTTTCAGCTAGTGGTCATGAACCTCCCTAAATTGTACAGAGTAACAGAGAAGAGGCAAGGTATAAACAAAGAGCATCTGACCAGCGATGAGAGAAGAAAAGGGAAAAGAAGATGTAAGAAACATCTGGAATTTGATTTCTTCCCACAAGACCCCTGAGACAACAGCTAAATAGAGTAACTATCTGCAATGGACCATGGACAGGAACCTGCAAACTGAAGATCAAATGTACTTGGGTAAGCAAAGAAAGATGGCAGAAAACCTATTAAAGTTTAAATCCCTTGATTAAGAAACCCCAGCTCAAGAGCTCCTATAGATCCCCAGTGAAGGTAAAGAGTAGTATAAATCTTTAGTTCATCATGAAAGCTAGAATAACAGAAAACTAGGGTTCTTGGCTCTAGGAAGTATAGAAGGAAAGTGCATATTCTGGTGACCTACAAAGGATGAGCTATGCATGTTTTTTGTCCAAAACCAACTGATTGTTGCATGTTGTCAAAACAAAATCAGGATGGTCTCCTTGCTGGAGGAGGTGAAAGAAATGAAGAAATGCCTCTCTGGATGACTGGAGAGGGGGATGTATTCCTTGAGAGAATGAAAGAAATGCTTCCAGATGAAAGCAAAGGAATCTACAGAGGCAGAGGGGAATCTGAACCTGTATAATGAGACTGGAGGATGGAAAAGTGTGACAGTGATGGAAAAGGGCAGTTATATCCCAAAGGGAATATAACTAGACTCTGAGGAGGAAACAGCTTTTTCTCCTAGCCAAGTGAGTGGTACAGTAGAGAGAATCAAAGACCTGGAGTCAAAAAGACCCAAGTTAAAATCTTGCCTCAGATGCTTAGTAGTTGTGTGACACTAGGCAAGTCATTTATCCCCATTTTACAGATGAGGAAACTAAGGCTGAGAGAGTTTGATAATAGTATCCACTTCACAGAGCTATAACAAAAATCAGGTGAAATAACATAAAGTGATGAAGAGCTTTGCAGCCCTTCAGATGCTATATAAATGCTGGCAAACTATCATTGTTGTTTTTATTACTGCACAAAATGACAGTGGGCGACCCAAAGCCCCAGCAGGAAAGGAGTCAGCAGCTACTGGCCAACAGAAGAAAAGAGGCTCTCTGGCTGGCCGGCCAGTCCCTGCTGAAGGGGACCAAGGCCACTAAAGGTCAACTTGATACAAGCAGCATCATAGGATGTATGCTGTGATCCCACGGTTCTTTGTCCAGGAAACCCCCAAGGCTGGTCAAACAAGATGAAAACTTCTTAAGTTATACCACAAGACAGCATCCCAAAAGCATCTCTTAACTAGCAAAGCACCTGATAGTTTTTTGACTTGCCTTCATAATAATTTCATCTTTAAAAAGGTAGAGGGGCCAACAAGGGAAAACTCTACCCTGGATTTGATTTTCCCCAACAAGGAGAAACTGACTGCCAGCTGACAAGTAATAGAAACCTTGGGGTTGATGGGGGAAGAGGGGAAAGTACTCATATTGCAATTTGTTATACAGAAAGAGAGGAAAGTCTGGAATAGTCTAACACACATTCTAGATGTCCACAAGGAGAGTTGATTTCAAAAATTTCAGAGAAAGAACAGCTAACATCAACCCAAGAAGGCTGAGAAGTTCTCAAGCAGAGGAGAAAGGGAGAAAGAACAAGAAGGAGAGGAAGGGGAAAGAGAGGGAGAAGGGGGAGAGAAAGGATGATGGAGAAGGTGAGGGAGAAGGAAAGACAAGCCACATTCACCTCATACCCTCCTCAAAGCATACCACAGTGGTAGGTGGCTGCCTACTCTGTCTACTTATAAGGTCAAGTCTCTTCCTAGTAATAATCAAGTTCTTTCTCAATGAAGACTTATACACTCTTACCTTGGCATGACAATGATCATATACTGAGGTACCATTGGGCAACATGGTTCTTGCACGAGACATCCCTATGGTTGTAATTGCCCTGTCAAGAATCTCATAAGCCAAAAGTAATTGCTCTTCAGGTGTTTTCTAAAAATCAATTGAAAGACAAAAATAGGTGGACAAAAATAAAATCTGAGTCAGTCAGATGCATAATTTTGGAAAGTCCTTTAAAATACATGGTATATAAGCTTTAAATATAATTTAATCCCCATCCAAAGATAACACTGAGAAAAGTTTTATACATAAGCATTATTGAGAAATTGCCTGTATTTCTTTAAGACAGATTTATCTTTGATTAAGTACAAATTGTCCACAAATCTAACTCATTCTCAATAACAAGATATGTCAAGCTTTTTACTAAGAGAAATGAAGTTTTTCTTTAAAATTTTTTTATGTTATTTTGACTTAAGTGACAGCAAAGGTAGATTTTTAAATTAGTTTAAGTGATGGAGCTGAAATGATGACATTTTCCTTTACTTAACTCTTACTGAATGAATTTCTGAAAAAGCATTTTTAAGTACTTCCTATGTGCCAAGCACTCTCTAACCTCTGGGGATATAAATACAAAAGCATGACACTCTCTGTCCTCAAGAAGGTTCCAAAAGGTGAGGAGATAACACAGATACAAGAGTGGTGACTGAGGATGCACTCTTTTGGCTTGCAAATTATAGTGATGGTGAGTGGTAGAATAAAGCACTATGCCCTGGGCCATCCCATCCAGTAGCAATGGCAAGCATTGAGGGACTTCAGTTCCAGAACTGGTAAGAGGGTGGAGGGACACAGACAGGGGAAGCATGGCTGGAACCAAGACTTAGATGTGGTGGACCCACCACCACCCCAGCCAGAACCAAAGGGCCTCAGAGCAGAAGCTACTGCAAATTCAGAAACAATACCTCCAAGAGATGCCACTTTTATGCCAAAGTGTTAGTCCATTTGAAAATAGCATGTCAGGAAATATACAGATTATTCAAACCTACACCATTGAGTAAACATATTTAGATGCAGTGGGGTGGGGAAGGTTTGATTCCCACCCTCACCCCCACTCCAGGTTACAGAATCACAGAAAGTAAGGGGCAGAGAGCAGAGATCAGCAGGTGTTGATGTGTTAAAGGAATTGTAAAGGTAAGTCTAGGTCCTATCGACTAGCAGTTACTATGTGCCAGGTGCTGTGAGTAAGTGCTGGGGAGACAAAAAGTAAAAAAACAGTCCCTACCTTCAAGGAGCTTGTGTGTGTTTGTGTGTTTGTGTTTTGTGTGTGTGTGTGTGTGTGTGTGTGTGTGTGTGTGTGTGTGTGTGTGTGTGTGTGTGTGTGTAAGGGGGAGAGGAGAGAGAAGCAGCAAGAGGAGGAGATCACAAGAAGACAATGAAAATAGGGGCCCAGGAATCCCAAAGACATGAATTGCCTTGGCTACATGTATCCCTAACTCATTGGTTACCAGGATATTCTAAGTTTGTGACCACTTTTCCCACTGATTCTGTGTTTGTAAAGAATGTACGTTGGTTTTGTGGAAAGAACACTTAGTAGATGTTGTCCTTATCATGCCATCTTAGTAAGTGCTTTTGCTATAAGGAAACTGACTGCATCTACTGACTGACCATTAAAAGAAAGTGTACCAGTGGGAGCTCACCAACAACATTAAAATCTTAGGAGTACCCTTTCAATCCAAGGCAGGAGCTGACCTCTGGGGCTGGAGGGAGCAGGTAGCTCCCATGGGGGAACTACATTGGAAAACTGAGATTATTAAAAAGCAAATTAATTATTCATTTCATAAAAACATATTTTACTCTATAAAAATGCATAGAATGAATAGGAATACTTGGAACTTCCAGTTCCCCTAGAACAGAAGAGTCAGACTCAGGGTCAGTGGGCCAAGTGCAACCAGAACCAAATTAAAATGTAACTGGGAAATGTTTAATAAAATAAATAAAAGTATAATACCACAGAGATGTTAATTTGTGGTTTCCTAAGTTAACATGGGTTGCAGGGATTGATACCACTGCCCAAGAACATTTTAACTAAGACAATTTATATACGTTTTAGGGCTATATTTATTGTATAAAAGAAGGTGCAACAGTACATAAAGCAAATATTATTAAACAAGTGTATGCATTTACCAAAGATGGGCTGCCATTTATAAAAAGGAGGAAAACCAAACCATACATATTCACTGATAATTATTCATAGATGATAAGCTTCCTATATCAATGAATAAGAAAACAAACCTGACCCATTTTTAATAATATTCAATTAATGAATGACATTTTGACTGATTTCTAGTAATCCCAGAATCCTACATCTATTTTAAATCAACTAATCCCCATGCTAAATCACAGTTCTTGAATTCAATGAAAGAAAAGTTAGAGTAGAACCTAACCCTATCTTTTCCTAAATCTCTCAAATCATTTGAACTAAGAGGAGCTTTGATGGTTAGTGCAATAAAATTCCTTAAAACAATATACTAGGTAAACCATTATAATCATGACACTGTGAAGTTTTTACATGATGAGAATCAAATATAAAGATTAGTTTTTCATATGCATTCTCAAATGACAGGAATCATATATAAAGGACTAGTTAAAGGAATCATGGAATTTTAGCCGGGAGAAAAAAAAAGACTTAGTGGGGACACATAGCTAGCAAATACCTGAAGGGTTTTTATAGGGGTTAGTTTTAATAACTTTGTCTCCAGAGGGGAGACCTAGGACAACTGGGTAACATTACAGAGAGGCACACTTTGGTTCAGCATAAGGAGCTCCTCGCAATTATAATTGCCTGAGAGTGGAATACACTTTCCTGGGAAGAATTAATGTGCGTCTTTTGCTTAGCTAAAAACATAACTAAAAATTTGTTGTTATTCAGTAGTTTCAGTCGTGTCTGACTCTTTGTGACCCCATTTGGGGTTTTCTTGGCAAAGATACCAGAATAGTTTTTCACGTCCTTCTCCATCTCATTTCACAGATGAGGAAACTGAGGCAAAGAGGGTGAAGCGACTTGTCCAGAACCACACAGCTAGTAAGTGTCTGAGGCTCGATATGAACTCGGGAAGAGTAGTCTTCTTAATTTTAGGCCTGGCCCTCTCTCCACTGTGCCACCTAGTTGTCTTACTAAAAAATTCCCCCTAATAAGATTATAAGATCCTTCTAATATATTCAGACTTGAGGTTTGACGTGATACCCAGTAAACTGTTGAGTACAAAAGAAGTACCCAGAAATATTTGCTTAATTGAGATATACAAGACTATGGCCATGCCTGCAGAAGAGGTAATCAACTGCTCTCAATTTGATTTGGACCAAGGAGAAAGTGGTTGATTAGATAACGTCTTAATGACTGAATTAAATCCACCATGAGTAATCTCACTGATTACTTCTTAATCAGCCATTATAATAGCTTAAAAAATATCACTGGCTTCCTCTAGACCTAGCTTATAAATGAAAGATGATTTTCATTAATAGCAGGTAGTTGGCTGCACATATTAAATTCAATTCAGAAAGTATTTAGTGATAGTCCAAAAACATTAACTGCAACACTATCTATAAAAAAGGCAATGTTCAGAAAATTATAAGAAATACAGAATCACAGTGCACATGTATAAGCATTAATGTGCAACACAAAATCATTTGGAGATTTCATTTGGTTTCTTTTAAAGATGTGAAAAAGACAATGTGTCAGAGTGGAGATAAGGTCTGCCAAAAAGTCAATAAGACCTGGTTCAAGTCTCGCCTCTGACACGCCCTGGCTGTATCACCCTGGGCAAGTCACTGAACCTCCCCATGCTCTAGACAGATGGAAGGTGCACTGGTGGAAGGAATTTCCTCACCAAGAGTTCTCTATATGGGTTCAATGACAGATAGATAAGGGCCAAGGTAATGACAGTTTTTTAAATGATGGATTACATTTTTTAAGAATCAAAAACCCAACCCAGCAAAACTGAACATAATCTTCAGGGGGAAAAATGGACATTCAGTGAAATAGGGGGATTTCAAGCATTCTTGATGGAAAGACCAGAGCTGAATAGAAAATTTGACTTTCAGATACAAGACTTAAGAGAAACATGAAGAGGTAAACAGGAAAGAGAAATCATAAGGGACTTATTAAGGTCAATCTGTTTACATTCTGCATGGAAAGATGATATTTGTAACTCAGGAGTCCTTTGTCAGTATTAGAATAGTTGGAGGGGAAAAAATTATATGTATGTATGTAGATAGATAGATAGATAGATAGATAGATAGATAGATAGATAGATAGATAGACAGACAGATAGATAGACAGATAGATAGATAGATGGCACAGGGTGAGTTGAAGATGAAGGGGTCATATCTGGGAATAAAATTAAGGGGTGAGAAAAATTATATGGAGAGAAGGAGAAAGGGAGAGGTAGACTGGGGTAAATTATCTCACATAAAACAGACAAGAAAAGGCTTTTACTGTGGAGGGGAAACAGGGGAAGGTGAGAGGGAATGAGTGAATCTTATTCTTATCAGATTTGGCTTAAAGAGAGAATAACATACACACTCAATTGGGTATGAAAATCTATCTTATCCTATAGGAAAATAGGGAAGGAAGGGGATAAGAGAGCAGGAGGATGATAGAGGGGAAGGCAGATTGGGGGAGGGGGTAATCAGAAGCAAACACTTCTAAGGAGGGACAGGGTCAAAAGAGAATAGAATAAATAGGGGGCAGGATAGGATTAAGGGAAATACACTAGTTTTTCACAACATGACTACTATGGAAATGTTTTGCATGACTATACATGTATAACCTGTATCGAGTTGCTTACCTTCTCGATGAGGGTGGGTGGGGAGGGAAAGAGGGAGGGAGGGAGGGAGAGAATTTGGAAGCCAAAGTTTTAAAAATAAAAGTGAAAAAAATTGTTTTTACATGCACTGGGAAATAAGATATACAGGAAATGGGGTATAGAAATCTATCCTGCCCTACAGAAATATTGAAGTGGAAGGAGATAAGAGAAGGGTGGGGGAGAGATAGAAGAGAGGGCAGATTAGGAGAAGGGGTATTCAGAATGCATGCCATCTTGGGGTGGGGTGAGGAACAAGATGGGGAGAAAATTTGGAACCCAAAATCTTGTGGAAGCGAATGCTGAAAACTAAAAATAAATTAATTAATAAATTAATTAATAAAAAAAAATTTTAAAGAATCAAAAATCCAACCAATTCTGACATTGTAAATTCTCAAAACCATTTAAAAAAGTTTTCCATCATTAACCTTTAACTAAAAAGTTTAGCATTGTACAATAATATACACCCCTTGGATTTTTTGCAGGGGGCAGGAGAGGAAGGCATTTCTCTCACAATGACCAGAAATCATACCTTTAAAATTGGGGAAAGATCAGAAGAACTCTTGCGGAAGAAGTCATAGTCAAAACGAATTTTGCTTCCAGAGCCTTTAGAGGAAAAAATGGAAAATGGAGCATCAGCCACCAAAGTGGCTGCATTCAAACTCCACCCAGCTTGCCCTGATGTTATTCTCCCCACAGACTACGCTCTCATCTCTCCGTCACCCTAGAATAGCATACATTTGCTTGCTCCTCATGTTTTCTCATTTCATGTCCTCTTCCTGGAAGACGTGCCCTGCTCCACCCCAGACCCCTTCCCACAACCCTGTTCAGCCAGTTAACACCCTGTCCAACTCGACTCCCAGCCTTTCAGTGATAACTGTTCTTGCTCTCCCCCTCTCCACTCTCAGAAGACCCTCTCTACCAGCTAGGTGGCATGGGGGACAGAGCACTGGACTCGAACTCAAGAAGAACAGAGTCCAGATGCCAACTGAGACAATACTTTCTAGCTGTGTGACCCTGGGTAAGTCACTGAACCTGTTTGCTTCAAGCACTCCCTCAGAGAGTTATTGTGAGGATCAAATGCACTATTTGTAAAGTAATTAGCACAGTGCCTGGCACATAGCAGGTGCTTCATAAATATTTATTCCCTTTCTACTCTCCCCCCCCCTTATTTACTGGCAGGACCCTTTGTATCTCTCCTGAACCCTTTCATGTTCGTTTATATTCTAGTTGTTTGTGAACTTAACACTTCCCTCCTGGAACGGAGGCTCCTTGAGGACTACAACTAAGGCAGATTCACCTCTGTGCCCTTTTCATCCTCTGCATGCAACAAACGCTTAAAAACCTTTGCTGAACTGAGGTGGTTTTCTCCATAGCATTTGGTTAACAATCACAATATGTCCTCCAAACAAATAATTTTTATGTGTAAACCAATAGCAAGAGTCTTGCCATATAATAACTTCTGATTCATCAATAAAATGCAAGCAATCTGTCTGCATGTTACTGTAGAAAGAGTATTGGCTCTTTTCCATCAGAGGCCCTGGGTTCAAATCCTGCTTCTGATGCATGCTACCTGTGTGACCCTGGACAAGTCACTCCTGAGCCTCAGTTGCCTCATCGGTAAAATGGTGGCTTGGCCTCGTTGGACTCTGAGGTCCCCTCTAGCTCTCAGACTATGATCAGATTACTTATGTGACAAATAATCTCATCTGTATCCTTCGGTTTAGCCTCCTAGTTATATCTCTACAAAATAGTCAACTCAACCAATGCAGGATCATAGCAGGAAGTTTAATTATGATCTTTTTTTCCATTTTCAGCACCCGGCAAAACATGGGCACATGTAGGAGGTAGGGAAAAGAAAGAACAGGAGGAGGAGAAGGGTGGTGTGGCCAGGAAGGAAGCTGCTAATCACCACTTGTAGATTACAAAAAGTTGAAAAAGCTAAAGGACACAGAAGCAAAAGAAGACCCAGACCGGGTAAAGATGATCTTTATGGGCCATGCTACAAAATAGAAAATGCATAATTTTAAGGATGAATTCACTCTCTCTATTACTCAAATGATCTGAGCAGTTCATGCTTTCAAACATTTTGTAGAAATTCTTTGGGACAAAGCCAATGCAACCAAGATTAGAAGGAAAGTAGAAAATTGGGAAACAATTTTTATAACCAATCTCTCTGATAAGGGCCTCATTTCTAAAATATATAGAGAATTAAGTCAAATTTATAAGAATATAAGTCATTCCCCAATTGATAAATGGTCAAAGAATATGAACAGGCAGTTCTCAGAGAAAGAAATCTATAGTCACATGAAAATATGCTACAAGTCACTATTGCTTAGAGAAATGCAAATCAAAAACAACTCTGAGGTACTACATCACACCTATCAGATTGGCCAATATGACAAAACAGGAAAATGATAAATGTTGGAGAAGATGTGGGAAAATTGGAATACTAATGCATTGTTGGTGGAGTTGTGAAATGATCCAACTATTCTGGAGAGCAATTTGGAATTATGCCCAAAGGGCTATAAAAATATGCATACCCTTGGACCCAGCAACAGCACTTCTAGGGCTATATCCCAGACAGATCATATAAATAGGAAAAGGACCCAGATGTACAAAAATATTTATAGCAGCCCTTTTTGTGGTGGCAAAGAATTGGAAATTGAGAGGATGCCTATCAACTAGGGAACGGCTGAACAAGTTGTGGTATGTGAACGTAATGGAATACTATTGTGCTATAAGAAATGATGAACAGGCTGGCTTCAGAAAAACCTGGAAAGACTTGTATGGACTGATGCTGAGTGAAGTGAGCAGAACCAGGAGAACATTGTACACACTAACAGCCATGCTGTGCGATGACTAATATTGATAAACTTAGCCCTTCTCAGCAATACAAGGATCTAAGACAACTCCAAAAGACTCATGATGGAAAATGCTATCCACAAAGAAGAAAAGAACTATGGAGTTTGAATGCAGATCGAAGCATACTATTTGCTATTTTTCTTCTGTTGTGTTTTGTTTCCTCTTTCTGGTTGTTCCTCCTATTGGCTCTAATTCTTACTTAACAACATCAAAAATGTGAAAATATGTTTAATAGTAATGTATATGTATAGCCTATATCAGATTGCTCACCATCATGGGGAGGGAGGGGGAGAAAAATTTAAAACTCAAAAGCTTATGGAAGAGATTGTTGATAATTCAAAATAAATCAATTTTTTTTAAAAAGAAATTGTTTGGGAAATGTTCTTTGGGCAGCTAGTAATTGCTACAGATAGAGACTATTACTAATTCCAATAAAGTATCCATTTTGCAGAAATACTTTTGAAATTCCTCCTCTCTAGCTATGAATGGATCCAACCATTCCAGAAATCATTTTAGAATTATGTGAAGAAAATGACCAAAGTGTCCATACCTTCTGACCCAGAAATAGCACTACTAGTACCCTAAGTCAGTGATCAAGAATAAAAGTTCCATTTATGCCAAAATATTATAGCAGTACTTTTTGTGGTAACAAAGAACTGGAAATGAAGCAGATGCCCGCAGACTAGGGGATAGTGAAACACATCATAGCATATGAATGTAATGCAATGTTACTGTCCTATAAGAAACAATGGCTATGATGACTACAGAGAAGCATGAGAAGATTGATATGAACTGATGCAAAGTGAAGGGAGTAGAATTTATAAAATGATGTTCACAATAACCAAAACAATGTAAATGGAAAAATTAATAATAAATCAACTGAAAAAGAACTACAAAGTGAAAATGACCAAACTTTATCTCAAAAAAGAGATATGAAATGGCACCCCACCCCACCCCCTTTTTTTACAGAGATTGGAGACAATGGCAACAGAACACTGCAGAAGACATCAGATTTTTTCAAAGAGTTGGTTAGTTTTGCTAAATTGATATTTTCCTCTTTTTTACTCTGTGCTACAAGAGATGACTCTCTGGTGTCATATATAGATATATAATGGAAAATTTAAGTGCTGTAAAAACAACAGATATCAATAAAATGTGCTTTTTTAAAGAACTTCCTCCATGTGGTATTGACCCTTTACCTATCAATTTTGCCCTGAGTGATATTTTGAAAAATACAACAAGAAGACCATACAAATATTTTCATTTATATGGAATACTCCAGATAGCCATCAGACTTTTACTGCCTATTAGATCACTGCCTATTAGTTTGTGGTCACAGCCATATAATACCACAAAACAAAACAAATATTGTTATATAGCATATGTTATTAGGCGATAATATCATTATATAATATAATACTGATCAACATTACGTTCATCACAGGTTCTTTATCTGCGACCCAAGAATAGATTTCAGGATGTCCGTGAACTTGGATGGGGAAAAATTACATCTTTATTTTCACTAACCTTTGGCTTTCTTTGTAATCCTCTGCATTTTATCTTATGCCTTAGAAAATATGATTCTGAGAAGGGGCTCATAGGCTTTACCAGACTCTGTCAAAAGAGTCCAGGACACAAAAAAGGTTAAGATCTCCTGTTCTAGTGATCTGAAAAGGGTGTATTTTAAAGCAAAGGAATGTCCTCAACAACATCTTGAATGGTTAACTGACAAACACCAGACAGATGATTGTCTCTTTCTGGAAAGACCAGAGGAACAGAAATATCAACCTGATCAAACTATCAAATGATTTTTTTTTAATTTTTCTCCAGTATTTGAAGAGGTTAGTGATATGCTGGACCTAGATAAAAATTATTTTCTATCAGCCTTACATGACATTAAAACTCAAATTGATGAAAACATCTCACAAATGGAAAAAATGAAATAAGGAAATAGTAGCTTGAATTAATGTCTCAGTTTTACAGGATGAGATGTTTCCACTTAACTGCCTTTAAAAAATGTATAATGTTGGCCCAGTGTTTTGAAACAAAAACAGCTTTTAGATGTTAAACCTTCTGAAATTTATGGTCCAGAATTGGTCAAATTAAAAACTTCTGTTTCCACAAATAAAATTTTTCCCCAAAGCCAATAAGGAAGAAAAGGAAATTGAGTTTAAGGTATTAAACATTACTTCAGGGAGACTGACCATTAATCCTTTTCTTATACAAAGTTATACTATTTTAAATGGAGCTGATTCTGGTTGTTTTCTTGTTTTGTATTTTCAAAAATTTCTCAGTCTCTGTCTCATACTTTGCCTAGTACCCATAAACAAATAGAGGAAACAGTATGCAACACTTACGATATGTTGAGGGAGTTAATATGGCATGAGGTTTCTCGTTTATGAACTACTTTAAAATTAATCTGAATTAATTCAGTTTGTCTCTATAGCCAACTCTTAATTAACCATGTTAATTGAGGAATGGGAATGTCATGGAAAACAAAATACATGAAAACAAAGCCTGTTCCTAGAGCTGCAAAAAAGAGCAACCTCTCACCTGTTTGCTTCACCACAGCTTCTTAGTGGAAGCAATGAGCCAAAAGGCAGAGAGAAAAACCAGGAGGCATGCATAGTTATCTCATTAATTTTTCCAAGCTAATTATAGTCTTCTAATAGTTATTTTGGAGCAAGGTTATTTAAGCTATTATTTTTTCCATTGCAATTGGCCAATAAATGTTGACTACTTAATAGGAATGCATATTGCCTAGATTATGACAAACAGCTAAACAGGCAACACATTGAGTTAGTTGATTTCAAATAAACAATAAGCCGGTCCAGAATGGAATAAGAGACGGCAAATTTCATTTAGAAATTATTCATCATTGTCAATGATCAAAGCTGCTCTTTCCTGCTCCAAAAACTCTCCTCTCCCCTCTCTCTCTCTCTCTCTCTCTCTCTCTCTCATATGCATATATCTACACACATACATATACATGTGTATATATGTCTATGTAGATATGTGCATATATTATATATGTATGTGTGCATATTTGCAAAGATTATATATAATGTAAAATCTATATATTTAAGGATGAATATTTTGATAATGCTATGTGACTGAGAATCGTAAATGTCCATAATTTTGCCCCCCAAAAATCAAATTTTTAAAGATGGTCCAAAAAGCAATAGAGAAATAAATAATGGATATAATTGGGTTGCAGAATATTACCAACAATGATTATTGGGCAAGTCAAATGTAACGAAATATATCAAGAAAATGTGTGATTAGAAAAAAGACTAAGTGTCACACTGATAGCCATGAAATATTAAAAGGCCTCCAACATGGTGGGTTGATACTCTTTGGGAGGCCCTAGCCAAGACCCATAGGATAAGGTTAAAATACATGGGTATTCTATGCCAGTAGAATTATTAACGTCAATGAACTCACAGATCCTTCAAAATATAAGACTTTCCAGTGGTCCTTTGTTTCTAACAAAAGATTATCAACCCAATTTAACAACTATTTATTGAGTGCACTCTACGTACAAAGCACTGATCTGAGTACCCCGACATCACGATGTTGTTTTGGTCCTCTTCAAGCATGAAGGACAAACAACAACAGGTGATATAAATATCTCATTCTCTCCCTTCCTGGACTGTAGCTGCCTACCCATGTCTTGTCTGTCTTTTTAATGCACCTCAAGTTTAGGACATGATAAGTCCTAAACAAATGTTTGTTGACTTGAACTGGACTTAGCAAATATGGCAGAACTTCTACATCTAAGTAAGGAAAAATACACTTCTGTAAACACAGCAACATATCACTCTATAAATGTTAAATGCCAATTATTTTAATTCAATACCATAAACACATTTTTGGAATCGTAAGACCTGATTTCCAATATCAGCTGTGCCGTTACTTGTCATGTGATCATAAGCAAATCACTTGACCTCTTAGCTTCAGTTTCCTCATCTATAAATAATCATACTTACTCGAATTGCTTCTCAGGGTTGTTATAAGTATTTTTATAAATTTTAAAGCATGATATAAATGTGAATTATTATTATTATTATTCAGGACTCGCTGTATGCAAGGCACATTTGCATTTTGGTCCTTTGGAACATGACCCATTAAAAAAAACCCACTACTTAAATTCATGTTGTCAAAATACTGTATACTTACCACAAAAAATAATAAAAATAAAGTCTTCTGTTGCAAAATTAGCAATCAGACAAAACGGGGAAAAAATGAATAGGAAATGAATAGGAAATTTAAATCTCTGAATGCTAGCACTTGAAGAAAAGTAAATTGAATTACAGGAGCTAACGTAAAAGATGAGTACTTATAAAAATTCTAAAGAGGATTTCTGGATTTTTTCAAGTCTCAAGGGTTGATAGAACTGTTACTTTATGTCTAATTTCATTAAAATTTAGGAATTCCATTCTACTTATTAGAAATACATCACAACTACCCTTTTATTTCTCATGATTGGGGGGAAGAGGGACTCATTTGGTTTACAAAAGAATAAAAAGATGGAGCAGGAAAGGGAGAGAGAATGAGAGAAAGAGAAAGAGAAGCAAGCAGAGAGAGGAAGACGGTAATATTCCTAAAGCAACTGGGTGAGAGAGGCAGGGGAAAAAATGGTTAAAAGTATTTACACGTGTATTTTTAAGAAAGTGGGTGATACAAATAGATAAAAACAGGAGCCATTCCTCTGAGAAATAAGCTGTCAAAGAATACAGACAAAAAGCTTTCAAAAGAAGAAACGTAAGGTATCAATAATCTTAGAAAACAAGCTCCAAAAATCATTAATAAGACAACCGCAGAACAAAATAACTCAGATTTCACTTTATATCCACCAGATTGGCAGAGATTAAAAAACGTAAAAATGTTAGTTGATGGAGGGGCTGTATGAAGACAGGTGTACTAACTGTTGATGGCCTGTGAACTGGTCCAACTGTCCTGGAATTATACTAGAAAATTCACTAAACTGTATATACCTTTTGATCCAATAATACTACTACCAGGTGTATATTCTAAAGAAGCCAAAGAAAGCAGGAGAGAAAGGCCCTAAATAAACAAAAATACTTATGGCAGCACTTTTCACAGCAAAGAAATGGAAGGAGTGTGGGTGCCCAATAACTGGACAATGGACAGACAAACTGGGGAATATGGATGCAATGGAATGTTATCACGTCATGAAAAATCATAAATCTAAAGAATTCAGAAAAATTCAGGAAGATTTGTATGAAATGATGTGGAACAAAGTAAGCAGAAATGGGAGGACAATTTATGTAATAACTCGAAGAGTATAGGGAAATACTACTGTTCTACAACAGAGTTAAGGAAAAGGATACTGAAAGACTTCAGGGTTCAGATCAACCCAGTTAAAGGTTCAGATGGTAAAGGATGGCTCCGTCCTTCACGAGAGAGGTGTTGAACTCTAGGTCCAGAATGAAACATCAGGTGTCTGATGAGGTCAAGGTTTTGATCTGTTTTGCTTAACTTTGCTGTTAGAAGAGCTCTATTAATGGGTAGAAATTAGGAATTTATAGCAACACAGAAAAAAACTATAAAAAAAAATAAAGGGAGATTAAATTTTAAAAATAAAGAAATTCCCTATGGTCAAATTAACTGAAATGTGAGTGATGAAAAAGGTAGCACAGTCTGCTCACAAAGCTCCACGGCTGGCCTTATTATAAAATATAGATTCCTGTTTGGCATGTAAAGCCCTTCACAGCTAACACCAGCCAACTTTCCTGTGTATGTGACACTTTAGTGCTTTTGACATGCTCCAAGGTCCAGGCAAATGTTCCCCTGATCTACAGAGCCCCTGCCCCCCTCACCTCCACTCCTGCCAATCAACTCCCCTCTTTCAGGAGTTACTTCCTGCATAAGCTTTTCTTGACACCCTCCCCCTCCATCCATTCCTCCTTGTATTTACTTAGTAGATATTTGGCATTTAATTATATGTGTACATGATGATCCTTGGTAGAATGTAAGGCAAAGACCCACTCGCTTTTTGTCTTTGGATCAAAGACAATGCATCTAGTGTGGGACCTTCCACATAGCAGGTGCCCATCACGGAAAACTATATCGTGTGCATAACCCTAAAATAGAATAAGAGATGAAAGGACACTAAAAAAACACAAGCTCCTAGAAGTCAGCAATGGTTTCCTTTTTTGTAGACAGTAACTAACACCAGGCCATTGCACACAGTAGGTGCTTCATGAACATTAGTTGAATTAAATAGAGAAATATAAATAAAAAGATAAATAAATAAATGCATGAATAAATAAATAAATACACGGGGAGATATAAATAAATGAATAAAGAATAAAATAGGGGAAAAGCATGCATTCTCCATGTTAGCGTCCGGTTGGTGCCACTAGACCAGAACAGCTCAGTTTCTCTTGGTGAGGGTAGGGTAGAGAAAGAAAAGGGGGAGTGGAAAGGCTTCAGGGAAGGTGAAGAGGGGAGTAGGTTAGTTCTTATATGTGGGAATGCTCACAAATTACATGTTTGTATCTCAAAGGGAATTGGAGCATGTGAGTCTAACACATGTGAGGACTCTTATGAAGTTCATTTTCTTAAGGATTTTAAATAATTCCTTTCCAATGTATTGTTGATGACTATTTCCACTATCACTTTTAAAAAAAAAAACCAAAAAGATTTCCTAAGCCAAGAAAAACTTCAGCCCTTTCAAAGGTCCCTATTATCACAAATGACAAAATGAGTAATGTAATATCTGCTCTTGCCTTATAACTTAGTTGTGCAATTTTCACACCCAGCTACTACTGGGATAATAATAGCTAGTGTTTATGCAAAATACTTCACAGATGTTGTCCTGTTTGATCCTCACAACAAGACCATTATCACACCACACACCCCCGCCATTTTATTAAGAAGCTAAAGCTGAAAAAAAACTCACCCAAGACTGCACCACTCTTTTTTTTTCTTTTTTTTGGGGGGGTAATTAGGGTTAAGTGACTTGCCCAGGGTCACACAGTTAGTGTCAAGTGTTTCGTATAAGACCACATTTGAACTCAGGTCCTCCTGGCTTCAGGGCCGGTGCTCTATCCACTGAGCAATCTAGCTGCCCCCGAGACTGCACTATTCTTAAGTGTGAGGCTAGATCCCAAAGATATGGCACCATCAAGTGACAGTAAGCGCCTTGGTCTCATCCCCCTGCTCATTTGTCCAAATGATCCTCAAATTATCTCCTTTGATACTTTACCTGAATGTTTTTTAAAATTTTTTTCTGGGTTTCCTAAAGTCTCCAATATTTCACTTATTCGTAACGAGACTTCAGCCACAACCACAGGGTTGATGTCTTCCGTTTGACAAGAATAAATCATCTCATTTATCTGCCAAAGCAGATGAATCCACTAAGGAAAGAAAACAGTGAACCAAATAATTTTTTAAAAAAACCAATCAAGTTAAAGCAACACAGATTATCCTTTGTTAGGTGGTTCATATAGAAGTACACCAGTGAGGCAAGTACTAGTCCTGCAATTTCATGGTAAAGGGAACTCCCAGGAAAGGAAACTCCCTCCACCACTGCACGGTGGCCCATCCTCAGCAATTTCTAGTCTTACAGAGTTGCCTAGAACAAGAGCTGAGAGTTAAGGGACCTGCCCAGAGTCACGGAGTAAGAAACAAACACATAGTCTTAACAACTCCATGGTTTCTTGGGACAAGGTGGAGTAGATGGGCAACAAACTGGCTTATTCTGTAGCTGGCAACGGGCAGGAGGGCTGAGGTGAATTTCTTGCTTGGAAGATCCAAGATGGGACAAAGGTTTGGCAGAGATTTCCCCCACCATCACTGTAGATAAGCTAATGACAACTTGGCCTCCATGCAACCTCATGTTCCCAACCTTGACTGGCTTCAGGATTATAAGAAAATTGGCTATTATAGTTTCTTCTAATCCTCTGAGTGATAAGTTGAGGGGAATGGTTTCAATCCTTTTCCCCTTGCCTGAATTCTCTCTTGACAATAATCTACATGTATTCCTGGGAAACAAGACAGAAATTTGGTATTTGGTCCCCTGTATTCTCTATTATCCAACTCCTCTATAGATCTATCTCAGTTGATATGACCTAAGAAATATGCTTTTATTCATGCTTTGGAAACTCTTTTGTCTCTCCAACAAAAAAATAAAAATAGGGGGCACAAGGATTCACAAACCAATGATCACTTGGCCTTAAGTTTAACAACACGTTGTCTTAAGAGACACACACAATCTAAGTTTGAAGGGTCAGCCAAAATGGATGACTGGCTGATCCCTCAACTCAGTATTCGTTCTCCTGCTTCCATTGTAGAAAGACAAAGGGGGGCACCGGAAAGGGCACAAGATTTGGAGTTGACCTCCTCTATCTGTCCCTTACTGCCTGTGTGACTTTCAGCAAATCACTCTGTCTTTCCAGACCTCAGTTTCCTCATCAGCAAAATGGGAGGTGGGGTTAGACTAGATGGTTTCTGAGGTGGTCCCTCCCAGCTCTAGGACAAGCCATTCCAAGAAGGCTCTCCCTCTTCATCCAGACCTTTCAAAACCCTTGCCTTCAAGGTTCAACTCAGCTGTCCCCTCCTCCATGAAACCTGTGCTGAGCCCTTGCCTCCACTGGTGGGGGTCACTCCTTCCTGAAAGTTCCTTGTTATTGCTTGTATGAATTTTGTATGCCATCTCTCCCCACTCCCTTCCCAATAGAACGTAAGCTCCCCGAGAGCAGGAACAGTTTCATTTTTGTCTTTGTGTACCTCAGATGGTGTCTCTACACATCAAAGACACTTTAAACGTGACCTGACATTGAAATGGATTGTTTTTCAGACTGGGATCATTTTTGTCTTTCTTTGCAGCCCTAGCGCTCAGCATACTGCCTGGCACACAGTAAGTGTTTCATGATGATGACGATGATGTTGAATTATAGACCAAAAATATTCCCTTTAGTTTTGAGATGTGAATTTTAAGCTAGATGAAACATAATCAACTATAACCACAACAAAAAAGCATAACAGAAAGAAAAAGCAATACTTTGTTATTTTTGACTTTCTGGACAAACTTGAAATATTCCATTTTTGCCGAGTAGATCCGCTGGATTCCCATTTTGCATTTCTGCCACAGGAACATTATCAGGTCAACAATGATCTCACTATCAGGCTGAACTTTCTGAAAAGGGATGTCAGATTAAAGGAATAAATAGATCAATCCCAAAACAGTTTTCAATAAAAAACAAAACCAAAAAAAAGCCAAATCTGAAGGCTCAATAGAATTTTCCCTTTTTTACTGCCTCCTGAGAATCTAGAAGGATGGAAAAAAAGAAAAGGAGTAGTGGGAGAAATAGGCAGGATAGTGGTGGGAGATAAAAATTTTTTTTAAAAACCCAGTTGATTATTTCAAGAGGATGCAGAAAACCACCCTCATTTCACATCTTTGTTTCACTGGGGCCTGATGACATTAATCGCTCCCATTTATAGAACACTTTGCATCCATTATCTCATTCGAAGCTCACAGCAACCCTGGGAGGCAAGTGCTTCCCATTTTACAGATGGGGACGCTGAGGCTCAAGGAACTTAAGTGGCTTTTCCAGGATCATGCAGCTAATACATTTTTCAGGCAGGATTCAAACCCAGATCTTCAAAACTCCCAAGGCCATATGCTGTGCTACATTGTTTCTTGGATGACTAGCAAAGACCATTACATTATCATTAGGTACTTAATAATTACATTATCTTTAGGTACTTAACAAAAGTTACTTGACTCAGTAACAGGTCAGTTCCTTAAGTTACCTACTCTTTTAATCCAAAAGAAGAAAGCAAATACCAGCATACATGAATTGCTGATGGTTTACAAGATATTATGAGTTGGCTTATAAAATAATCAAAGGAGAGTAACATCAGAGGGAAGAAAAATTATTTGAAAACCTCATATCCCTGTAAGCCTTGTTTCTCATCTTTACTCTCTGTATTATAATAATTACCATAATTCTTTATGAAAAGAAACACCTGATTTCAAAAAGCTGTCATAAGTCAAATCCTTTTGCAACAAATACTATCATAATAAAAAAAAATCTCATTAAGGTGGAAATTTTTTCCAAACCTCCAATTATGGTCTACTGATTTAACCAATATTGGATGCATAAAATTTTTATATTATGAACAATTCACATATTCCTATTAAAGTAATTTAAATGGGATATGAACTTAAGAAGACAATATTCAGAAAAATCTTTACTCAAGCATTAGAACCATTTCTAAATAATTTCAACCTATGAAACAAAAAAGATGTAAATCCCCCAAAATAAAAAAAGACACTCAGCTTGGCAGCTATGGATTTTGGAAGCAAAACTAGTTAAACACACACTCATAAAATGATTGGCACAGTTTCTCTGACATTTAGAAAAAGAGCTGGAGTGGGCATGTGCCACGAAGAAATCATTAGTACTAACGCTGATTATTTCATAGACAGAACTTGGACATAGGGCTGCCCTCAATAATGAAATACACTGAAAATTATGATAAATCAAGATTCTGATATTTATTATTTTCAATTTTCTGATGATATAGAGAATGCATTAATTAGAATTTTAAAAGTAAGGAAGACTGTGTGATTGCCTCCATCTTTTTCACACAGCATCATGAAAAAAATGTCAAAAATATTCACCTCACCTCATCAGCCGAACAAATGAAGGAAAATAACATTGACCCCAAGTGGAAAATGTCATCAGAATAGCTTCCAGATAACATGTGAGGATCTTGATTCATGAAACAGAAAAAAAGTTAACATAAACTTAGCATCTACTTACAAAAGGACGAATAGAAAATGTTCAAGGAAAGCCAAACTTGGGAACCTTCATTTTAGCTCTAAAATTCAGTGAACTGTATCTACGACAAACTTATCCCTAGAAAGTATTCTGCATTCTGCCAGTAGGCACCAATTAAAGTGGATTTTTAAGAAAATCTAAATTTATAGCTAAAATGGGGAGGGGTGATGTCTGCATTTCGAAAAGACCCCATTTTTACCAGGTATGCCTTGTTTCCCTAAGTTCCCCTACAGCATTTAAAATGTGACTGAATTTTCACAAATTAATTTTACATGCAACTTTTTAGGAACACACCTGCCAAATGGAGTGGAGAATACTTACAGGCGTCCTCCGGACCATACAGAGGGCAATACTGTCCTGGTCTACCCTGAGTGAGTCCATGTGGTCCAACTCCCTCACTTTCCAGATGAGGAAACTGAGGCCAGTGCAATGGTGCTAAGCAACCTGCCTAAACCCAAACAGGTGAGAAGCCTCAGAAGCGGATTTGAACCATGATCCTCTGTCTGACCCCAAAGCCAGGGCTTCCTCAGTGGTGCCACCTCCTCACCATCAGCTTCTATGAGTACACCCAGGCAGTCCCTAGATAAACTTCAGAGGAGCTCGGGTCAGCCAGGAGCCACAGAGGCTGTCAGACCCCATGACAGTAGAGGGCAAGGCACTGCTTTACCTTCTAGAGAAGGAAGAAGAGAATCGGAGATTTTTGCTTACTCCCTCTTATACAAACAGCAAATGGTTCTCACCGGGTCACTTGGATTCCTTCAGCACTGTTCAGTTAGGGGGTTGTGACCTGATGACTTCGAAGGTCCTTTCCAGCTCTAACATCTTATGATCTCACCATATTTCAATAACTATTGCCATCTCTTGGCAGAAGTGAATTGCAAGTAGCCACAAGCACCAATAGTCATGGGCAAACAGTTCAACTGTCTGAGCCCATGCTCCAGAATCTGGGACAGATCTGACCTTCAATGACATGGGCCTAGATTCAAAGATTGGACTGAGGTCCAGAATCCCCTTGTGTGGTTCAGTTCTGGACAAAGAGAAAGCCTGAAAATCATCCTCGAATCTCAGTAAGGGTGCTAACAGAAGGGAATAAGAAAGTAGCAGTGAGGGACTCTGCTCTGCCATGTTTCTTGGAGTCCAATTTCTGACAGAGGAGGTAAGGAATTGTCACTTGGAGCCAATGTGATTAATTCAAAGGCATGTTATCTTCTGTCATCCTAAACACTCAGAGTACAGAATCCTAGAGCTGGAAGAAGGAGGGGCAGAAAAGGGGAAAAGGAGGAAGAAGAAGCAGAGAAAGAGGACAAGGGGAAGGAGGAAGAGGATGAGGAAGAGGAGAAAGAAGAGAAGAAGAATGAAGATGTAGAGGAGAAAAAAGAGGAAGAGAATGAGGAGGAAGCAAAAGAGAAAGAGGAAAAGAATGAAGAGAAGGAGAAAGAGAAGAAAGAGGATAAAAAGGAAGAGTAAGAAGAGAAGGAGGAGGAGAACCAGCATTTGCATAGCACTTCAAGGCTCAAAAACACTACAAACAAGGGACTATGGAAGGTTTGCTGGATTGCCCCAAAGTGACAAGTCGCTGGGGACATCTCCCTGCTCACCCTCATGCCTAGAATTCTCTTCCTCTTCAGCAAGTTCCAGCTAAAATCCCACCTTCTGCCCGCAGCTTTTCCCAGTCCTTCCCTCTGAGACTAGCCCTACTTCACCCTGTCTATAGCTTTCTGTACACAGTTGTCACACACTGTCTCCCCCATAGACTGTAAGCAACTTGAGGGCAGGGGCTGCTTTCTACCTTTTTGTAACCAAAGCATTTGGCACAAAGCCTGGCACAGAGGAGGCGATCCATAAATGCTTACTGACTGACGGACGAAAGAGCCCAGAAGCGGACAGGGCAGTTCAGCTCGCCCTCCTGGGGACTCAACCCCAATTCCCATGACAAGAACCTCTTTCTTCTTCACGTGCCTCGGTGTGCACCTGCTGAGTCCTCCCAGTGGAATGGAACCTCATTGTCTACACCACCCTGGGTCTGACACACAGTAGGTGCTTGACAAATGTTTACTGATGGACAGAACCACCCTTCCACACATTGGTCCCACTAGCAGGTAAGAAGAGTCTTCCCTAACTCACCCTGAAACACAATTTTCTTCCCCATTCTTCGACCTCCTTCCGTGGTACTGTTGACTCCTTCCCCAGTGTAGGCCAAGCCTTTATTTCTCTTTACATTGATCAAGGGTTCCATCGCAGCCAGAAGCCTTAAATCCATCTCTGCTTTCCTTGAGGCTGGGTCCTTTCGACCCTAAGGAACAGGACAGACCCCACAAACTGGTTGGCAGCTCATTACCATGACTGCACTGATGTGAAACAAGGCAAGTGCGCAGGGTACTATACCTGAAGGAAGTGGATAAACTGAGCGGCAGTACAATGAAATAAATTCCATTCCTCAAAGGTGAAAAATAATTTTATCAACTTCGCCGCAGCGCTTATCGAAACGCTGTCTTTCCCTTCGACAGCGAGTTTCATTTGAGAAGAAACTGAACAGACTGTTTTGAAAAAGTCAAACTTCCCACAGGCTGTCTGGCTACTGGTTGGATCTTGAAACAGAAAAAAAGAAAGAAATGAAATCAAGTCTAAATGTTCTTTGAAATTTGGGGTTTTCAACACAGTCCCAAATAGCTTTACAGTTAACTATCATAATGAACCTCATGTGTAAAGTATGATTATAAATCACTTTAGAAAGCAAACTGGAAAGGGTTACTATAAGGTAGTGATATCAGTGAATCCCTGTCACATAAGATGTTCAGAAGAATTTGCCAACTTGCTGGGATGAAACAAAGGGAAAGTCTGCTATCAATCAGGGGGTTGTATCAGATGGAGCAGCTGGCCAAGCAGACCTGGGGTCCAGAAGACTTGAGTTCAAATCCAACATCATACATTTATTCCCTGGGAAAGTCACTTAACCTCTGTCTTCCTCAGTTTCCTCACTTGTAAAATGGGGATAACAGCCCTTCCCTCCCAAGGTGGTAGTGAGGATAAAATGAGATAATCCTTGTAAAGTGGTGTGTTTGTTTGTTTGCCAACCTCAAAGCACTACATAAGTGCTAGCTTTGATGATCATTATTACTATTATTATTCCAGCTCTAGAATGATGTGGTTCCATAACCACAATGTTTTGCACAACCAAAGGTAATATGCTTTTAAGTTACTTTGCCTTTCCTAAAATGATTTCTATGGGTTTTTTTAATTTGTCTGCTTTACTCTGTGTTATTTGAGGGATGTGAAGATATCCCACCCACTGGGAGGGAGTCCTGGCTCCCCGAACCCTCATACCAACTCACCCTGCTGGAAATCCCCCACCTCACTAACCTGCTGAGTCTCAGCTCTTGTCCTCTGCCTCGTCCCTGAGAGCTGACAAGTTCCCGAGTCCTGTCCGTCACCTTCCATCCTGCCCTCTCTGTTCCCACAACCATACCCCAACACATGCTCTCATTAACCCCCTGGACCATCACGACGCCCTTCTGCCATCCGCCTCTCCTCTCCCTCCTGCCCCTCCCACCCACCCCTCCTTTGTGTCACTGAAAGAGCCGCCTTTTTATGCAAAGATCTGGTCACACCCCTCCCCTGCACAACAACCTTCAGGGGCTCCCCATTGCCCACCGAGCCAAGTTCAAATTTCTCTGCCCGGTGTTCAAAGCCTCCCACCTATACCTTCCACTCTTCCCTCATGTCCCCACCCTCCCCAGCACACTCTTTCCACTGCTCCATGTCCCTAGCGATTTTGATGCTGTCTCCTCCATTAGAATGTCTACTTTTGAAGGGCAGGGACTGGTCCTTTTACCTTTCTTTGCATCCTCAGCACTTGGCCCAGGGCCAACCCCTGGGCACTGACCGCCACTCAAAAATGCCCAGCAAACTCCTGGTTCCGCTACCTTCGTCACATCGTTCCCCTGAACTCAGAATGTCCTCCTTCCCCTCGATGGCTTGTCGAATTCCTAACCCTCTCTTAAAATTCCACCGTTAACTGTTACCTCCTCCATGAGGCCTCGAGGGGATGAAGTGCTGGGCCTGCAATCACACAAGACCCGAGTTCAAATCGAGTCCCAGATACTTAGTAGCTTGTCATGCTGGCAAGCCTCAGTTTCTCTGCCTGCCTCGGTTTCCTCATCTGTGAAATGGGGATGATAACAGCATCTACCTCCTGTGGTTCTTGTGAGGATCAAATCAGCCATATCTGGAAAGCACTTGGCACACAGTAGGCATTTAGTAAATGCTTGTCTCCCTTCCCTTCACAGGCTCTTCTCTGATCCCTTTGCAACTCATCTTATGTTACTGTATGTCATCATTGGGTCTCCTCCCCCAGCACCCCAGATTTCAGGCTCCATGGGGAGCCAGCCTGTGTCTGTTTCCATCTTCTGTCTCCCCGATATCTATCACAACACTGTACTGAGGTTAATACTGCTTGGTAAATGATTCAGAGGCTGAAAGAACTTAAGTTTCCCAGAAGAGAGAAGGCAGTAGTTTGAACTCGCACTAGGCTGTAAGCCAAACACTAAGTTCTTCCTGTGATTTTACTTGATGACTATGTAATTAACAGGAAGCATGAATGCTTCTGGGCCAGCTAGATGGCACAGAGGATAGAGCTCTAGCCCTGGATTCAGGAGGACCTGAGTTCAAATGCAGCCTCAGACACTTCCTAGCTGTGTGACCCTGGGCAAGTCAATGAACTCAGTTTGCCTCAGTTTCCTCACCTGTAAAATGAGCTGGAGAAGGAAATGGCAAACCACTCCAGTACCTCTGCCAAGAAAACCCCAAAAGGGGTCACGAAGAGTCAGACACGACGGAAAATGACTGAACAACTTAGGGACGGTTTTCTTAGTGGAACAGCCATGTGGTATCTTAAAAATTCTGGAAAAAATCTATACAGATGATACAATAAGAATGCGTGGTGGCATTTTATAACAGCTGTTTAAGGGACTGTCAAAAGCACTTAGCTCAGTGTCAATGCAAACACAAGACTGCGGATGCAGGAGATGATGCTAATGTCCCGCGTCAGTAGAGAGCCAACCTTTGGTCATGACCCCTCGAGCCACACAATGAACCGTGTCACAAGCTCTAAAAGTTCCGTTGCCAGATCTCATTTGGAATCTGTCTTCACCTGAGAAGAGCTTGCTGCCAGCCATGAAGAGCTCAGCAAAGACCTCCCGAATCTCGGGCTCTTCTGACGTGGGGGGACCCGTCTGCAGCACCCGCCTTCTCGGCTCCGAAAGGGCTTCCAATACGGCCAGAAACTGGGACGAGCTGCTGTCAAACATCTCAACCAACAGCTTTTCTGTGGGAGTACGTGGCCATTGCAGCTGGAATCAAAGGAAAAACAAAGACCTCAAGGGGTCCACCGAGGCCATCCAGTCCCCTCCCTCTCATCTCCAGCTTCTCACTTGCTCCCCTCATGTCTCCATCATTCATAACTACCCCTATTCACTGTACAGCAACTGGTATTCATCCAGTCATCGGGCCCATCTCCCAGAAGCGGGAGGGAGGGGGAGATAACGGAGGTGATAATTCTCCAGAGAAAATAACACATTTTGCTCCAGGGGTCTCTACCCCACTGTATGACATCCTGGGTAATAAACAGCAAATGTTAACCAAGGTCAGTCTGACCTCCCGGGAAGCAGCACCACTTAGCAAATGGGCATGTCATGGCTGTACAATTACTGAGGAAGGGAGGGTGTATGCCCCATCGAAAGGGGACAGACCAGCTAGGAGGAGGAGAGGTGCCCCCAACTCAAAAAAGGATGCACCTCTAAGAAATCCACAACCATATGGGCAAAAGCATAGATAGGAGAATTTTAGTGACATTAAAAGGAGAAAAAAAAATGATGCAATTACGGGAACAGATGCCCATTCTTCCCTCACGTCCCAGCCAGATGGACGATAGGCATGCTGCTTCTTAACAGAAAAAACTAGCACAGTGGTGATGGGAGAGAGGGCTTCAATGGCACAGATATTGGCTATAAATTTCCATTTCCTAAAACCAGGGCAAATGATAAATTCTTGACCTGCTTTGCTAATAACTTCATCTCTCAGGAGGTAATTAATAATAATAGTTAGCATTTATAGAGCGCTCTAGGGTTTACAAGGTACTTTGCATATGTTATCTGATTTAATCCTTACAACCTCAAGAGGTAGGTGTTATTGTTATCTCCATTCTTCCCCCACCCCTCTCTGACACCCCTGCTCCATTTTACAGATGAGAAAATTGAGGCTGAGAGAGGTTAAGTGATCAGATCACAAAGCTAGTTAGTGCCCGAGGAATATCTATTCCTGCCTCCAAGCCTACCATTCTACCCATTACACTACCAGTTTTATTGGAAACTTCAAAGGGAAATGGTATTCTTAATTATGCCCAACCAAGAACTTTTTGAGAACACGGGAGGGTCAGACATCACAAGAGAAAGTGATCACCATCTTGAAGTCCAGAACTGCCAGGGAAGGGGACACTGGGCACAATCCCAGGGTACTCCAGGGCCAGGTTGAGGCGGGGGGGGGTGTCAAACAGTCAAATGATCCTTGTTTCCAAATGCTAGCATTATTTGAACTTCCATTTTCTAAATGGTTCTTTCTGTTCACCAAGACTTGTTACTCCCTAACTATATATTAAACTAATTCTGGGATTCTTAACCTGGGGTCCATGAACTTATTTGTTTATTTTTTTTCTTTTTTCTTTAATATTTTGATAACTGCATTTGCTTGTAATCTTCTGTATTTTATACATTTAAAAACATTCCATAGGTGTTAGGGATCTGTAAGGATGTAGAGGACCACAGGCTGTTCATGAGGTCTCACCGACAGGCAGAGGCCCCTCTCAGGTGCTGATCTATGAGCAAAGGTCGCCTGGTTTGGTGCTCCATTATATGGATTTAACAATCTTTAACTCCGCTAGTTATTGTATGGTCATTAGCAGTTTATCTGTGATTGGAGTCAGATAAGCGCACAGGACATGCATGCATTGTCCTTAGTACAGCATGAGCTCTACCTCAGTCACCGTGACTTGAGAAGTTCCTGTTACTTTACTACTTAAGTGAATGCTTTGTTAAAATTAAATGGAGTTGCTTCCATCTTGTCTCCAGCCTCATCAATGCGCATTCGAGATAGAAGGTTAAGCTGGCCTTATCCCTTCAAAGTTAGTATAGGATCCTTGCTCTTGTGGTGAGCTGAATTAGTTGTGTACAACATATAGGCTTCAACACACTGTCAGAGAAGTCTAGTCTGGCCTTGGAGTCAGGAGGACCTGAGTTCAAATCTGGCCTCAGACCAAATACTTGACACTTATTAGCTGTGTGACCCTGGGCAAGTCACTTAACCCCAATTGCCTTAAAAAAAAAAGATTGCTGGGAAAGTAGGTTCCAAGATCTTCAGAGAATATATGTTATACCATGTCTAGAACATCTAAACTCATGAATGGTGAAGAGTCCTAGAAAAGAAAATCCTCGCAATACAATCGCAACTGACCCTAATGAAGAAGAAAGCAATTAAGACAGCCAAAGAGAGGAATGTAGTCAAATAAGGAACTTCACCACACTCAGATTTTTAAAAGGATTGATACAAATGAGCATATAATCAAGGATAACAGGCTTTTAAGAAGAGAACTAGGAGGAAGTGGGAGTGGGGCAGCTAGGTGGCACAGTAGATAGAGCACCTGCCCTGAAGTCAGGAGGACCCAGTTCAAATCCAACCTTGGTCCAAACACTTGACACTTAATAGCTGTGTGACCAAGTCACTTAACCCCAATTGCCCCCCCCGAAAAAAGAAGAGAAGAAGAAATGTAAAGACCAGAAACAGAAGGATCTTGTGAACAAAATGGGAAGGACAAGAAACAAAAGGGATTTGTTTTCATTTTTGTTTTTGTGTTTTAAGACATACTCTGGGGCAGCTAGGTGGCGCAGTGGATAGAGCACCGGCCCTGAAGTCAGGAGGACCTGAGTTCAAATCTGGCCTCAGACCAAACACTTGACACTTACTAGCTGTGTGACCCTGGACAAGTCACTTAACCCCAATTGCCAAAAAAAAAGGTTAGGCCCATTGCTTGAGGCAGGCAAGGAAATGTGAGTTATGCTGAAGAGAGAAAGCAAGGCTCAAATTTCTCCTCTGCTTCCATCTACATAATCAATGAAAACTATTTCAAATAGGGAAAGACAGAAAAGGCATGTTAAAGAGGGAAATGAATCTCAAAACAGCACTTAGCTCCTTGAAGTGAATTTAATGCTCTAGGCCGAGACAAAGCGTCACAAATAATCATCGAAAGGGACCTCAAAGGTTGGCAAGCACGTTTTAGAAACTTGCAGATGTGATATCTCAGAATTGTCAGGAATATCTGAGACTTCACAGAGAACAGAACAGTATTCCAAAAACTAAAGATGGAAAGATGAGGTTCTGATTTTCAAGAGTGTTCAATTCCAAAAACTATAGACTATTAGACTTGACATTGTTGCTCAGCAAAGATCTAGAATAAACTATTCACTGGATGGTGCATGCAGTTAGAAAAGGCAACAGTGAAATCTAGGAGTTACGGTGGATTCACTAAAGAACTATTACATCAAATTAACCTCACTGCTTTTGGGTAGGGTCACTAGCTTGGTTCTTCATTCACTTATTGATTTCCTTTTCTTCTGTGTGGATAGGTTGGCCAAATTCTTTTGAATTATTATGGATGTTATTTAGGAGACTACAATGTTTCTGGGCTCAATGCAATCACAATAGTGACATCCACAAATGAAGGCATCTGAAGGGCCTCACCATCTAAAGGGGGGTTTGCCCCTCAAAGTGTGCTCTGTACTGGACTCTCACTTGGTGACCTCAGAAGCTTCCATGAGTTTAATGAACATCCCCATGCAGATGACTCCCAGATCTATTTATCCAGCCCTTACCCCTTCCCTGAGCTCTAGTTTCACATCACCAACTGCCTATTGCACATTTTAAACTTTATGTTCTGAAGGCCTGTCCAAAGTAGAATTCACTTTCTTCCTCCCCTACCCCTCCCAATTCAATTCTCTTCCAAATTTCTTTGTTTCTTTCAAAGGGACCACCATATTTCCATTCACACAAATTCATGACTTCAAGGTCATCCTCTACTCCATACTCTCTTTCACCCCCAAATATTCAGTCAGTTGCCACTTCTTGCCAGTTCCATGTAATCTGATGAGGAGCATCCTAACAAGCCTGGGAAGGTCAACTGGAGCTGGACAGTGAAAGGCTTTCCATGCTCAATAGAGACATTGTCATTGTACCCTTCAGGCAAAGGAGACACATGGAAGCTTCTTCAGCTGAGGAGAAAAGTCGTCAGGTCGGAACATACTTTGGCAAATATGTGGCAGATGGACTGGAAGGAGAGATTGGAGGCGGGGAAGCCTTTCTAGGCTACTGACAGAGTCCAGGTTCTGAGCATCTGAACTGCCCGTGAGAGTGCAGAGAAGAGGATGAGCGCAAGATGTATGATTGAGACAGAATCAACAGAGTTTGGAAATGGCCTGGACATGAGGAGACAGAGGCATCATAGGTGACTGTGAGGTTGTGAACCTAGGTGACTGAAAGGATGGTAGGGTCTTTGACAGAAAAACAGGGAAACTGGGGAAAGATGCAGATGAGGGAGTAAAGATACAGTTCTATTTCACACATGTTATCTTAGAGGATTCTGTGACAAAGGAGAAAAAATCCAGGCACAGTCTGACATAGATCAAGATTTCTTAATACAGGGTGCATGGACTTTCCCTTAATGTCAGTAGGTCTTAGGAACTTGACCCTAAATCTCTAAGGGAACTTAGGAATGGGAAAAAATGGGATGGGAAAAAAAGATACATCTTTATTTTCACTAGCCAAAATATAATGTCTCCTCCAATTACTTAAAAGTATTATTCTAATGAGTTCGTAGGCCTTGCCAGACTGCCAAAAGGGACCATCACACAAAAGAGGTCAAGAACTCCTGTGATCGATTTTGAGAAAACAGATTTCAAAGGCCTCAGAGGAAGACCAGGTCAGATCTTGTGGACTAAGATTCTCAAGGAGAAGTCAGACTAGGAAAGGGAGGAATACTTTCAAGAAAGAAATTCTGAAGACACAAAGAGAAAATTCTGAGCAAGAAGAAAAAAGGGAAATTGTCTATCGAGGTCAATGTGAATGTGTAGTCTGCACACTCCAAAATGCAGATTCTTAAGACAGAAGATGAAAGCAAGGGCAGATAACAGAGAATGAATACAAAAATGGTGCACACTCCTAGGAGAATTGTCAAAAGTGCTAAAGCTTAGAATGAACTGAGACTGGAAAGAAATGTTAAGAACAATAACGGTTTGGGGTTTTTTTAAAGCTATTTCAGGAAAAAGAGAAAGATCAAAGAAAGGATAGTATCTTTGCTCCAGGCACATGGGAAAATAACTGCCAACATGGAGAAGGTAGAGAGGTCCAGCCCTTATTGGCTTCTGTCTTCTCTACCATTGAGAATCAGCTTTCAACTGGAAAGGACAGAAAAATTAAGGCTAATGAGCAGTTTATACCCAAGAGAAGTAAGGAGATTGTAAGAAACCCCCTCACTGCTCTTAAGTTCCAGTCACCAGGCCCAGATGAATGACATCCTTCACTCCTGAAAGACCTGGCAGATATCACTCATGCAAACAAGACATAAACAGGTAAATTGGAGGCAATCTCAGAGGGAAGGACCCAGCACAAAGTGGGACTGGTAAAGGCTTCTTGTAGATGGTGGGACTTGAGCTGGGACTTTTAGGAAGTGATGGGCGAGCCATTGTTAGGGTCAGTGCATTGCAAGCTCACCAAGAAAATGAATGAGAATCATAAACAGGATTGGGAAGCATAGCACCCGTAGGATCCAGGCCTGGTGCAGGGAATATAGCACCCAAAGACTCCTCCTCAGACACTTAACATCTGGGTAACCCCAAACAAGACACTTCACCCCTTCTCAGCCTCAGTTTCTTCATCTCTCAATTGCCAAACCTAAGGTGTTTTTTTTAATCTTCTTTCTTCCACAACTCTGTGCAGCTTTTAAAACTATTGATCCCCTTCTCTTCCCAGATACTCTCTCTTTGCTACGATTTCATGACATAGGTCTCACCCAGTCCTCCTTCCAGGCTGACGCTCCTTCTCAGACTCTCATGCTGGATTTTCATCCACATCATGCCCACAGCTGTCAGCCAAAGCTCTGTTGTAGGCCTTCTTCTCCTTTTACTCAATATTATTCCTACCTAATCAGCTCCCTTGAGTTCATATCTATCTGTGTGTGTATACATATACATACATACATATATTATATATATATAATATATATATATATATATATATATATATATATATATACATATATAATCTGTAGATATAGAATTAGAGATAGAGATTTAGTTATCCAATGGCCTCTCGGATATCTCACTCTGGCTATATCCTGTAAGGCAGAACAGACTCGACATGCCCAAAACAGAATTCATTCTTTCTCCCTCCAAACCCACCCCTCTCCCTGTCAAGGACCCCCATACTCTCCCAATCCCCCAGGCCTGCATCCTCAGTTTCATCCTCACTCTCACTCACCCCACACACCCAACTGCTATCAAATCTCATCACATCCGCCTTTCCAACATCTCTTCTATAAAACCCTTCTCCCCAGTTCCACAGCAACTACCCTTCTGTAGGCTTTTATTGCCTCTCACCTGGATGCTTGCAATACCTCTCCAACTGTTTCAAGGCTGTCCCAACTATAATCCACCCTCCACTCAGATGCCAAAGCATTTTCCTGAAGCATAAATCTGGTCATGTCACATGTCACATACCACCACCACCACTCAATCCACTCCAGTGGCTCCCTATTGCCTCCAGGAACTCCTCTGCTAATCCACCCCTGTCATGCCCCTCAATGGCTGGCTCACAGACCTCTAGCTCTTGGCTTGACTTTGGAACTCCTGCATACCCTTCTATCTCTAAGACCAAAGGGTTCTCTAAGAATCTCTAGAAACTCATGCTTTTAATTAGTGAGAAATATTCAAATAAATAGATAATATAAGATATATACAGGACCAATTACAAGTCATCTCAGAGGGAAGGTATTAGCAGATGGGAGGATGGGAAAAGGCTTCCCTCAGGAGGGGGGAAGTCAAGCTGAGTCTTGAGGGAACCTTGTGCAGCTCCGAGGTGGGGGTGAGGAGGAAGAACACTGCAAGTACAGGGAAGAGCAAGTGAAAAGGTGCAGAGCATCAAAGGATTTTCTGCAAGGAACAGCAAGCGAGCTGGCGTGGCTGGTCAGACTGTACGGAGAGGAAGAAAGTGCAGGGTGACTGGAAGTGTTCTAATTGTGAAGAGAAAGCCAAACTGAGAATCTTATATTTGATCCTGGAGGCTGAGAAACAGCAAGAGATAGAGCCATGACATTGCACAACAAACCCAGATATTGTCCTTCACTGGTAATGTGAGATAGGTAGATGCTGAAGGGTCAGTCAACTGTCTGGTAATCTTGAATACTTTTCCAAGAAGTGGAAAACACTGGGAAATATGGTTCTAGAATAAGAAACGAAAGAGTACATATGAAAACAATGAAAGAGTTTCATAGACTCCAAAAAAGCTTCACACATCCTATGTCATGAATAGTCTCTCCAAAAATCAGGAGATACTGGACATGGTGAACACCAGGCAACATCACAAAAACGATTCGACATGGAAAATAGGCGTTCTCCAAACACTGTCTGCCACTATGTCAGATGACATCCAGCACACAATCCAAATGAAAGAAGGATTCTCTATAGGTGTGGAGGCTTCTAGATGCTCCTGTTTACAGATGATATTATGCTGATTGCATTAATCCCCAGGTCATTACATCCTATCAACGAGATCCAGAAACACTCAAAAGAGTTTTATTTAACTATCCACACAGGAAAAGTAAAGTGGATGAAAAATTTCTCTTGTTCAGACTACGATATTCAACGGGACAAGACAGCCCATAGAACTGGTCCATGAGTACATACATCTTGAAAAGGCCCTGAAGATGACACCAAACTGAGCTAAGAACTGAAAAGGAGAATGAATTGTAATATGTCTAGGAATCTGTAGGATGTTTTTAGTGACTCCCAAGCTGCTGCTTAAAACAAATGTCCGTCTTTAAATAACAATATTCTTCTGAAGCTACATGGCTACACCTCACAGAAGACAAGTCACTGAAACACTAAGGTTCTAGGTCATCAAAAGAGCAAAGAAGACTCATGGCAGGAAAGGGCTGCAGCAGAGGTGTCAAACGTGAAGCCTATAACGTTCTCAAATAGAGCCCAAACTAGATTAAAGTGCAATTGGGAAATATTTTTTTAAAATAAATAAAAATATAATAAAGCATAGATAATGTCAACATGCGATTTTTTTAAAGTCAATATGCACCTGCACGAATCTGGTTTAGTGGCCCCCACTTTCTATGTGAAACCACTGGGCTATCACATATTACCAAAGAAGGCAGAAGAGGTATAAAAGATATTATCAGAGCAATGTAGGATCAGGGAGTCCATAATATGGCCAAAGTGAAGGTTAACCGATGGAGAGCCTGTGTGTTCTATTGCTATTCATGCAATGTCAAGAATTCTAAGGGGAGGTCCCCAGTACATTGGGTAGCTGTTCCATAGAGCATCGTGGAAGGTGTGGATGAGTTGCACTCTGCACCATTGAAGACAATACCTGCATCAGGAAGGTTGCGGATCTTTTGAAGTATTTAAATCATTAAATTATCTCCTAGCTTAGTTGTTTTGGTTACTCCATAGACAGCTCAGAGTCCTGTGCCTCACTGTCACCCACGATCCATACCTACCCCTGCATGACCAACCATCCCTTCATCTAAGCTGAGCTGGAGCCTCAAGTCTAAAGCCTTGAAGTCTCAGGTCTAAAGTCTAAGGCCATTCTCAGCCTCCCACACCTTAGGCAGGGAAGTGCTCTTACTTAATAAACAGCACCTGGGGACAATAAAGATAAAAGAAAACAAAAAGCCTCTTCTCTATAGCTTCCCGTTCACAGAAGAATCAAGAACAGAATTGCTCAACACATAGGCCTTAGGAGGCATTTTTTTTTAAATGTACAGCTATCTTCTACCTATATCGCTGAGAAGATCCCATAACCCATAATCCCAGACTCACATTCTGTGCTTCCCGTAAGGAAAATCTCGGTTTTGCTCTTATGGAGGACTTGGACTTTCTTCGAGGTTCAAAGGCCGCCCTCTTGAAGATCATCACTGCCATCTGCCTCAAGAGACAACGATATTTCAAAATAACAATCCAAGGTATTCTGTGAGGACTACTGAAAGTGACATAACCCAGTGGAAGAGGGGGCAAGTTCCTCTGATTCCGTTCATTTGTGTACCTTTATGGTGGCTTCTCTAAAGCTTCTTTTTGCTTCTTCCTGTGGTGGTGTGAGACTCATTACTTCTAGGTGTAATAATTCATCAATTTTTCCCAAACCTCGCCGAGCAAATATCTATTATGGATTAAACAGTTTTTAAAAATCATTATATATAATAGAAGAGCAACGGTTACAAATTCGTCAAGGGAGAACTCACATTTTATTCTCCTATTTCTTTTCTGACATGGAGAACTTTCAAAATAAGATATACCTGAGCTATTCTTTCGTGGAAGCAAGCAATGAACCTTTTTTTTTCAATATAAAAAGTATGCAAGCAATTACATATGTTAATTTTGCTAAGTACTCCCTAAGTAAAAATCAGAATTCAGAATGAAACCTTATCTTCAATCTAAATTACAATGAAATTGATCAGCTCATCATTATTTGACATCTTCCAAGACAATCACCCCCAAAAAGAACTTTTTTAAAATGTGGAAGATATAATAGTCTTATAAACTGAAGTCTGTTGTTATCTTCACAGAGCTCTTCTTGCAAAGGTTTCATGCAGGATTCACCCAAACCTCTTCTAACTCATTTAGTAGCCTGAATGAAGCAGATACTAGGTCCTGAAGTTAACACATAGGAAAAAATGTAACAAAGGTACAGGAAAAACGATTCTAATTTCCAAAAGGAAACATTATAGTCAAGTAACTGCTCTTAACTTTGAGGCGGCTTAGCTCCTGTGCCTATTTAATTCAATCCAACAAATATTTATTATGTAGCTACTACAAACTAGACAGGGCACCACAGTGCACAGGGCACTGGGCCTGGAATTAGGAAGACTCATCTTCCTGAGTTCAAATCTGGCCTCAGACACTTCCTAGCTGTGTGACCCTGGGCAAGTCACTTCACTCTGTTTGCCTCCGTTTCTTCATCTGTCAAATGAGCTGGGGAAGGCAAAACCACTCCAGTATCTTTGCCAAGAAAACCCCAAATGGGGTCACAAAGAGTGGAACACGATTTAAACAACTGAACAACTAATACAGCCAAGGCACTCTGCTAGATATTGGGATAAAAATAGCCCCTAAAAATAGGAGCTTATAATAGGAGGATAAAATAATACAAAACAACTCAATTTATATAGTGCATTAAGGATCTTCCAAGAATCTCCTACTCACATGTTGGGAGAACAAGTATTATTATCAGATGAGAAAACCAAAGCTCAGGGAGATTAAAAGATTTGCCCGAAGTTATATAGCCAGTCAGTGTCCAAGCTGAGACAGGAACCCAGGTCTACTGACGCCAAGACTAGTGCCCTTCCCACTCCTTGGTGATTTTGATAGCTACTTAGCTCCCACCCGAAGCATCGGTGCCATCTTGAGCCCTAATCCAGTTGCAGAGAGAAGGATTCACTGTAGGCTGCCCAAGAGCCCTACCCTTGAAATGGGCTGAGCTAAAAAGCCTCCCATAATCATTCCATGCATCCCTCCGATTCCAAATAGAGGTAGTCCACAGATAGCCCCTCTACTTTCAGATGGGCAGAAATAAAAGAAGCAGCACTGCAACAATCATGGTAACTGATTAATTTATGTAAAATCCTGCAGCTCTGCCTCAAGTCTAAAGCCACAAAGAGGGCGATGAGGCAGAGAGGGACTGAAGACGGAGTAAGAATAGAAGACAGAGAGTAAAACGCGGAAGGGAAGCCACAGGAATAAGCACTGGATTTTAAAAAAAGAAGAAGAAGAAGGATCGTAGACTCCAAGATTTAGAGCTGGAAGAGACCTTAGCATTCATTCATCGAGTCCAACCCCATAATTTTAGAGATGAAGAAGCTGAGACTCAGAAAAGTTATGTGACTCATCCAAAGTCACAAAGGTAGTGACAGAGCGGGGACATAGACCCACATCTTCAGGATCCAGGGAGATAGGACAAAATAGAGAATGGGGAAAACAAGAGAGATGAGAGGAGTGGAGCAAGACAGGAGTGAGATGAAGAAGGCGGGAAGTTTTACCAAATAAAGGCCTAAAAATCATTCTTGACTCTCATACTTCTATAGAAGTAAACACAACTTCAAAAAAATAAGTCCCAAGCATGTTGGGCTTGCCCTTTTATTGGGATTACAAAGGGAAAACCAATTACCTCTCCATGAATTCCAGCTTGGCAGTCATAGTAACACTGGGAAACAGCAGTATACAGGGTAGCTCTCCAATTCAGATACCTAACCGCTAGAAGGGGTATGGAGGATTCCATACATATACTTGCCCAGAGCAAGTATTCCAAGGCCTGTGGGAGAAATATAAGTGGTTCAGTGTTTTTGCCAAAACTTAGCAAAACCCAAATGGTCCAAACATGAAATTTCAGTGGTATAGGGAATCCCCAGTGGTAAAACCCCACTTCCCCAAACCAATGCAGATCAGCAGTGTCATGGAATGTGTAGTCTTTGAGACTTGTCTGAGCAGTTTAAGTGATTTACCCAAGGTTCCACAACTACTATGTAGCAGAAGGAAGATTTGAACCATGGTCTTCTTGATTCCTAGACTAGCTCACCATCCATCATAACACACTACTTCTCTATCAAAGGCTGCTAATGATTCCAAATATATGGTGCGCTCACATTACAATTCTTCAATACAGACCAATACCTGCTAAAAGTAAAATATTGAAATAATGAAAAAAATGCATTAGGAAAATCTATAATCATCATATTTCTGTTCCTGCTCTACACTCCTTCTCCCTTACCCCCATGTATAGGACCTTATTGAAACTACCACTATATCTCCTCCATATAATGGTCCTCCATTCTAATTCTGCCCACCAAAACAATATGGTAGCTGTCAGTACTGTCCCTGTCACAGAGGAAGTTTCTGAGGATGGATGGAGGAAAAAAATACAGAGAATATCATGGAAAGGGTCAATATTAATATTTAAGGAAGCTTTATTTTGTCCAAAAAAAGCCTTTCTAGAACTATATTAAGAATTATGTCTTCAGGAGGACTTGAGTTCAAATCCAACCTCGGACACTTGACACTAGCTGTGTGACCCTAGGCAAGTCACTTAATACCAATTGCTTCACTAAAAAGAAAAAAGAAAAAAAAAAGAATTGTGTCTATGCCATCTTGGGGAGGGGGGAAATTTAGTACTCAAAATCTTTTAAAAGTGAATATTGAAAACTAAAAACAAATAAATAAATTTAATTTTTAAAAAGACAAAAAAAAGAATTGTGTCTAATTCCAACAATAACATCTAGACAATGAACTACACTGTTTTCATTGTTAATTTGGGGCTTCATTGCTGAAGAACCTAGCAAGTGCCCATTTCAGGTTCAAAGATGAAAAGGCATTTCCAAGAATAAGGACCAAGGTCAAAGTTTCCCCTTGTTATTGGAAAATAGAAAATGCATCTGCTACTATTGACTTCTGGTAGAAATGCACGTACTAGCTTTGCTCCTGGTTTTTCATAGAAAAACTAAATCTTTTTGAAACTTCATATTTTACCCTGAAAATTCGTAAGATAAGAGAGCCTGGAAAGGAAATAATATAGGAAATAGAGAGAGAGGGAGAGAGAGAGATGAAGTAAGCACACAATTAACAAATCTAGCCACAGGGTGTCACTGTGATACCACATACATCTTCTAGGAACATGACAAAGGCTTTCTAAATTTAAAGATGTAGTCAGAATAAGGTTATATCAACTGCCAAATTATGAAATAATTTTGATATGTTTGTGCAAAATCAAAATATCAGACAATATTTTCAAATTTTTCATGTTAATCCCCCTTAACATCTTAAATATTTTAGCTAAGTCAGCAATAAAAAATATTCTTAAGCCTCGATTACATGCCATTGTAACTTTTACATATACCATGAGAATCTACTGATTATATCACGACCAAAAATGAAACTAGATCCTCTGTCTTTACTACAATCGTTATCAAAAAAAATTTTAAAGGCAGGGAGCAGGGGGTGGGGGAAAGAGAAGGGAGGGAGGGAGAAAAACAGACAGACTCATTTGCTGCTTTCTTCCTCTACTAAATTATCCAGGTTTGATTTTCCCACCTGGGCCAGTGTCAGGGTCTACCTTGGTCTCTGAAATCTTTGTAGGAATTTAGGGTTATGACAATAAAGTAAATAAGAAAATAAGCCTGCCCTGACCCTACCCCACCATGATGTTCAACTGGTATTTGACCGGAGAATTGAAAGAAAGGACTTGGGCTAAGATGAAGTCAAATTTAGCATGTGAAAAATCATATACTTCATTCATTCAGCAAAGGTTTCTTAAGCTCCTACTGTGATAGAAGACTTTCAGAAATCAATAAAATGAGGTTGAGCATAGTCAGATTCTCCAACTCCAGAACCTACTTCAGGTCTGGGATAGCCCTGGAGCCATAGTGGGGACCCAAGAGTGAATGGAGGGAGGAAAGTTCTGAGCTCAGATTAAAAAGAAGTTCTTGGCCTTCTCTCGGTCAAACCTGAACTCCAGGGCACCTCTGCAGAACTAATCCGAGAGAAAATATGGTATAGGATAGTGGAGGAAGAGCTGTCCTCAGCTTTCGGAAGACCTAAGATCAAACACCATCTCATGTACTACTTGGGTGGCCTTGAGGCAATCATGCAATCTCCCCCAACCTCAGTTTCCTTATCTGTAAGATGAAGGGACTGGACCAGATGACCTCTGAGATCCCTTCCAGACCTTAATGTAGAAAGGCCAAGGCCATCCACCGTCTCCCAAGCCATGGCCAGTCATCTAGACTTTTGTCTTGACCCTGGACCCCAATAACTCTGACCAGCTCTGCCTCACTTAAATCCACTCCACTGGAAAGCCAGGACATCACCCCAGCATGTCATCAGTCCTCTTGGAGAACAGAGGAAGAAAAAGTAGACTTCAGCTCTGGATCTACAAGCCTAGGCTGTGACTCAGGGCAAGGCTGAACAGCCAAAGACACAACTTGGAAAGAACCCACTGACTCCATTCTGACCCAGACCTATAGTTCCAGAACCACCATTAAATCTCAAAAGGAGGGAGAGGGAAGGGAATCAGGCAGGACCTGACTGGAAGCATTCATCTTTTGAAAGAGGCCTTTCCTTCTCACTACAACCTGGAAATCTCCTGTTAGCTTCTTTTTTGTGGGGGAGGGGAGGAGAGGGGCTCACTGTGCCTTCCTTAGTCAGACAGCTTATAGGAGTGTGTGAATTTTTTTTTTTAACACTTAAAACTTGATATTTTATTTAATCTTTTAAATTTGGTGTTTGTGAAATTTTTATTTAATATTTTGATAACTATTTCAGTTTAACTGGTTTCCTTTGCAAGCCTAACTATTTCATTTTACGCATTTAAAAACGCTACTCTGAGCAGGGAGCCATAAGCTTCACCGCACTTCTCAGAGGGGAAGCCGTGACACACACACCAAAAAAAAAAAAAAAAGGATTAAAAACCCCTGATCTAGAAACATATGCAACAAGGCATGATTTACATAAACTACAAATGACAAATTATTTTAAGATGACTCAAGCTAAATTAAAATTCTCCCTGGGTGGCCACTAACAAAAAGCTAACAGTCAAATGCTGGCACAGACCTCGCCGTCCTCCTGGCATTGGCAGCCAGACCCTGGTTAAGGAAGCAAGCCATGGCATGGTGGTTCTGGGGAGCAGGGTTTATTGCTACACCGAGGACAAGAAGAGGATGGGATTGCTTTTTAGAAAATCATCTGGAGCCGAGTGCAGTCTCTGGAAGAGTCTGGAGGCCAGCTTTACAAATGTGCACACCCTCCCTTTTAATTAGTGCTTAAAGGACCATCAATGACCAGCACTTTGGAATTCCAAAGGCCTCAGATAATGTCCCCTGTGCTCTCTGGCAGGCAGAGAGCTATGCTGCCTCGGCCTATTGTCCTTTTAAAAATTCTATTAACTTTTAAAATGCAGAGAGATTTGTTGTTTTGATTAAAACAATTTTAAATACTTCTGAGTTCTGAATGCCAACATGTTCAGGAAACAGGTTTGCACAGCACTGACAAAAAGAAAAAAAAAACGTCCAGCCATGTGGCGAGTGCCAGTAACAACTCAAAAATGGCCCCACTGGGAATGTAGTCTCATTTCTTGGCCAGCATCCTGATGTCAGGACAATGGATGCAGGGGAAGAATGCGTCTCCTAGGGACAAAAATACTATCAGTATTTGCAGTGACTTAACAACAGTCAAGTTTCAGCAACTCCTCTAAGATGAAAGTCACATCAGTGAAGTTTGCTGATGAGTCAATGACATCATAAAATAAAACTCCCTGGCGCCCCTCAGAAAGAGACCAGGTTACATTGTCTGAGTGCCCATCTATGCAACCAGCAGCTGGGCTCAGAATCAGAACGCCCAAGGTTCTGAGTCAGACACTTACCAGCTGTGTGGTCCTGGGCAAGTCAATTAACCTCAGGCTGCCTCAATTTCCTCATTTGTAAAACAAAGAGGGGTTAGATTCTGGGGCCTCCAAGGCAGGAATTCTAAACCTTTTGTATCTTGGGCCCTTTGGCAGTTGGCGAAGCCTAGGGACCCTTTCTCAGAATCATGTTTTTAAAAGTACAAACAGAATTTATAGGATTACAAAGAAAGCCAATTACATTGAAATGCAGTAGTCAGAATATTGAAAAAGCAAGTTCCCAGTGAAGAACCTCTGCTCTACGGTCCCTTCTAGCTCTAAATCCAAGGTCCTGTGACCCGGGCCTGGCAAAACTACCCAAAGGGAAGCAAGACCACAGGAGGCCATCAGAGGTTTGTCTCTACCATTGACTATTCATCTGGCAACCCAAATACAGTCTTTAGAGATAACCCTGAACATCCAGCGACCTCAGATTCTACCCTGTCAAGGTAGACAAAGGACAGGGAGAGTCCTTTTTAGTACCTACTAATCAAAATGTCCCATTACAAAAGAATTATGAGTGTAGTAATGGATATCAAAGACACGTAAGGGAAAAAGAGATGGGCTGGCCACAGGGTGGGAATGAGGCCTACATAACCCGATCAAGAGCACATATGCTCCACTGGCATCCTTCTGAGGGCACCAAGAACTCAAGTATGTTGGGTAGGGCTTCTAGGATAAACAAGGATAAGAATCCTGAAGACTAGGCAGGTAAAGATGGGTTATGACCTGAAGGGAAAAGTCACCATGAAGAGATCATTGTTCTATGGAATTATTTGAGTAATTATTATAATATCTACAATTTAACCTAGAACTGCCGTTAGCTTTGGAATATGGTGGTAGTGTCACTACCTGGCCCGCAGAAATGGCCCCCAGATTGGCCTTCTATGAGTCCAGAAACTCTTCTCTTCTTTGGGATAGTGTAAGTCATTGACATGATGGTTTTAATAGCACTGACTGTACCAGTCTAGAACATCAGTCCAATTCAGTCCAGGCAATAGGAACCATGAAAATTCACAAATGCGTCTTCCTTGAATACTTTTTAAACTTTCTTTATTTTTCTTATTTTGGCATGCGTGGGTACATATGTATGTATGTGGGTGGGTGAGTTTTCTTGCAACACGGATAACATGGGAATGTGCTTTGCATGACTTCACAGGTATAATCAATATCATATTACTTGCCTTCTCAAAGGGTAGGCAAGTGGTAACAGAGAATTTTGAACTCAAAATTTTTTTTAAATGAATGTTTTTAAATTATTTTTACTTGTAATTGGGAAATATTTAATGAAATAAATATACATATAATTTTAAAAATCAGTCTTATCTGTAGTGAGGACTGTCAATGTGGCTTGACAAAAATGACTGAACATACAAGATTTTTTTTTAAAAGAATTGCAATTTTAGACCGATACTACAAACAAACTAGGGGAGCAAAGAATAGCTTACCCAGCAGATCTATGGAGAAGAGAAGGATTTAAGACCAAATAAGAAATAGAGAACATTATTAAATGCAAAATGATGACTTTGATTACATTAAACTGAAAAGTTTTTGCACAAACAAAGCCAATGCAACCAAGATTAGAAGGCAAGCAGAAAGCTAGGAAACAATTTTTACAGCCAATGTCTCTGATAAAGGCCTTATTTATAAAATATATAGAGAACTGGGCTGAATTTATAAGAATACAAGTCATTCCCCAATTGATAAATGGTCAAAGGATATGAACAGGCAGTTCTCAGATGAAGAAATCTATAGTCATATGAAAAAATGCTCTAAATCCCTATTGATTAGAGAAATGTAAATCAAAATGACTCTGAGGTACCACATCACACCTATCAGATTGGCTAACATGACAAAACAGAGCAATGATAAATTGTTGGAGAAGATGTGGGAAAACTGGAACACTATAGCATTGTTAGTGGAGTTGTGAACTGATCCAACCATTCTGGAGTGCAATTTGGAACTATGCCCAAAGGGCTATAAAATTGTGCATACCCTTTGACCCAGTAATACCACTTCTAGGTCTGTATTCAAAAGAGATCATAAAAACTGGAAAAAGGGGGGAGTGGGTAGGTGGCGCAGTGGATAGAGCACCAGCCCTACAGTCAGGAAGACCCGAGTTCAAATCCAGCCTCAGACACTTAACACTTACTAGCTGTGTGACACTGGGCAAGTCACTTAACCCCAATTGCCTCACCAAAAAAAAACCATGTACATATATATATAATTTTATCATTTTCAGTTATTTAGCATAACCCTGGTAACAGAGACAGCAGGAGAAGGCCCAATGGTCAGAGGGCCTGGGCTTGAACCCTGCCATAATGGCAATATGCTACATATTGAACACACCTTTCAGTGGAACATGCCCACTGATAAACTCTGCCTCCCAAGTCACCATAAAAGGAATAAAGGCTTGATCCACACAATAATATTCAGAGCTACTCTTTTGCAATGGCAAAAGACTGAAAAACAACCTCTATTTTCGACAACCACAGAACAGCAGGAAAAAATCATGGTATATTAATGTAATAGCAAATCATGATGCCGACATCAAAATTAAAAATACAAAGCCTACAAGGAAATGTGCAAAGAGAGATGAGGTGACACAGAATAAAATCAGGGCAAGGAAGAAAGATCAAAGGCTGAAGAATTTTGGACAAGCCTGGAAGAGGATATGGAAAAAATGCATCTTCTTTGATTCTTGATAACTCATTTGGTTCTGCCTTATTAGTGGCTATGAGCTTAAAGTATGATTGTATCCCCTGTTTTATAGGGTTGATTATTTTATTGAGGGTTGGGAAGGAGCATGGTGTAGTGGATAGAGAGCTGCCCTCAGAGTCAGGAAGCTCTGGGTTCCAATCCCACCACTACCACATCCTGGCTCTGTGACCTTGTACAAGTCACAATAACTTCTTAGTACTCAAAGGCTATGTCAAGGTGTCAATCTGCTGTGGTGAGGAAGTGTCCTTCACCTGGAAGTCTCTATAGTAATGAAATCACAAGCCTACTCCTTATCTCTGTCAATGTTTTTTACCTTACTGATAATAAAATTTTAAATTAAATTTTAAATTAAAAAGTAAACATTTTCAAAATGTCAGCCTAAATACAAACTTAGGAAACAACTGAACAAATTTTCCTCTTTTTTTTTTTTTGGTATTTCCTTTGCTGTGTACCACTCAGTCTTTTTTTTTCTAAATAGTATTTAATTTTTTCCAATTACATGTAAAGATAATTTTCAACACTCATTTTTTTATAAGATTTTGAGTTCCAAACTTTTCTCCCTCCTCCCCTCTCTCCCCCCACCCAAGACCACAAGCAATCTGATATAGATTATTGCAATCATGTTAAACATATTTCCATATTAATCATGTACCACTCAAAGTCTTAAAAGGAATTGATTAGATTACAATAAATCTTTCAATACTTCTTTTCATACCTTAGCAGACAGCCCGATGACCATCAGCTTCCTACAAAGTGTATAAATATGAATTGTACCTAGGTGGAGAAAATATTAAGTTAGCATCTTTTCAATGAAATGGCAGCAATCATAGAATAGGAGTTTTCAACTTGAATTGTGTTGGGGCCAATTTTAATTGGCTCTGGAGAGCTGAATATTAAATTTTCTGTGTGAACATTTACACCTCAGAAGCCAAAAATTACAAATCAAAACCTGATTTATCATTCTGTTGATTTTCTAGATGCAAAAAGTGATCAAGAAAATGTTAGTCACACAGAAAAAAACTAAAAAATGTGTTGTAGGTGATTTTCTTCCTCCTGAGAGCCGGTTGTCAAACGGTGACCACACCCCTCTGCAATAAATGACCTGGAAAACTGGTGACTTTAGAGAGATCTGACTTCTCTAGGCATTGATTTGTTAAAAATGTTCAAGTAAAAATATTCAACAAAAGAATTTGAATACGAGTTTTAAATGTGATGATAGACCCAGTGATCTTTCAGTCTTGACTTTTTGGGTAATTTTGATTTGAAACTACACTGAGTGAAAAATATTTCCAGGGATATAAGTTACATAAACTGAGGTTTTGTCATGCCCATAAAAAGGTTCACATATTCATCTATATTATTTAAAAGCTGAAAGCTGGGCAGCTAGGTGGCGTAGTGGATAGAGCACCGGCCCTGGAATCAGGAGGACCTGAGTTCAAATCCCACTCAGACACATAACACTTACTAGTCGTATCACTTAACCCCAACTGCCTCACCACAAAAAAAAAAAAAAAGACTGGAAAAGTTCCATTATCTGTGAGATGATAGTAATATTTGATCTGAACAATGAAATAATAAGTAAGGGGAAAAAATAAGGAAATTAATACCATTAAGAATAATGCCCTAGAAAATACAAAGAACTAGCACATGGACTGTTTGTTGAGGTTTTGGGGGAGCAAGGGTGCATTTGAATGACAGGTACAGGAAGGAGGACTATTGTCAGGGGAATGGTATGGAGGGCAGCCCTCCTGGGGAGGTCATTAGGTAAAAAAGCTGGGGAATCACAGAGTTTTTAAGGGATTGCTCAGGGCTAAGAAATCTCCTAGAAAACCCAACCAAATAATGCAGAGCTTAATTTGACATTGGGGGGGAGGGGTCAGGGAAGGCTGGAAAATAAACTACCAGTGAGCACAGACGGGGACAATTAGTACCTGGTACCTTTCAAATAACCTTGGCCTCCTTTTATATCCACATACCTGAAACCACGGGCCCTTCAGTGTTTCTTCTTTTAAGAAGATTTTTACACCTAATCGTATTTTGCTAAAAGAATGTCCCCCCAAAATGTTTATAGTTGTAGACAACTATAGAGCACTGGATCTGGAGTCAGGAAGACCCGAGTTCAAATTCTGCCTGAGATGCTTACAGACCCTGGGCAAGTCATTTAACCTCTGTCTGCCTCAGTTTTGTCATCTGGAAAATGGGACTAACAACAGGATCTCCCTCCCAAGGTTGTTGTGAGCATCAAATAAGATAATGGGTGTCAAGTGCTTTGCAAACCTTAAAACATTACATGAATGCCAGGCATTATTAGTGTTCTTTATTATATTGCAATATTGTATATTATTATATTGCTTATTATATTGTTATATTGTAATAGTATATTATATCATTTATTATAACCTCTAAATATGAAGATCAACTATTAATGTTCAATAGCCAAGATTCATTGAGAATATAAAAAGATATTTCTATGACATAGGACAACACAGTCAGGTCACCCACCTGAAAAAAAAAATTCATTTTTTTGTCTTTTTTTAATTTTTAATTTTTTAATTTTTATTCTTTTTCAAGTAATGAGTAAAGGTAGAAAGTTGGTTGTCTCCACCCAAATAGTAGGAAGTCAAAGTGGAACGGTATTTGGAACCAACCTGTCTACCAGTGGTCATCCTGTGCTCTCCCTATTTCCACACAGTTACCTTAGGCCCTACCCAGGCAACTCTTTGTACATAATATATTATATTATATTATATTATATTATATTATATTATATATTATATTATATTATATTATATTATATTATATTATATTATATTATATTATATTATATTATATTGTGTGATATATTATATATACTATAAATGTCATTTAGCTCCCCTGCTGACTATAATGCAAGATTTACTCCCCATGTGTCCCTATTGCAAAAATTGCCATTTAGGAGAAACCATTTTCCAAGGCACCTCTACAAAATGTTGTTTGTTGTTGTTCAGTCATTTTTCAGTCAGGTCTGACTCTTCATGAGCCTATCTGAGCTTTTCCTGAAGTGGTTTGTCATTTCTTTCTCCAGCTCATTTGACAGATGAGGAAACTGAGGCAAACAGGGTTAAGTGACTTGCCCAGAGTCACACAGCTAATCAGTATCTGAGATTGGATTTGAACTCAGGAAGGTGAGTCTTCCTGACTCTAGACCTGGTGCTCTGTGCAGTATGGCGCCACCTAGCAGCCCAAAAGCTGATAACGAAATCCAACATTCTAGAAGAGCATCAGGCAAGTATTCTGTAAAAATGCTTGCAATAAGGTCAACAAGGTTCTCTGAAAGTTTGCATCTTGTTCATGAAGCTGGAACCCTTCGCTCCCCTGCCATTCCCCTACCATTGTAGATGATCCAGTAGAGTCTTTCCTGGGGGAGGGCCACTTGCATGATGAGTCTCAACGAAGACAACATGTTGAAGCACTGACTCACAGATATCTCACTCTGCAGATCGGGGTCACTGGCACAGATCACCTGGTAGATGCAAATGCATTTCCCTTCCAAAGCACGAAACTGAAACACAGAAGAGAACAACAACAACAAAAAAAAAGTCGAAGAGGAGACCAATCAGCAGTTCCCTTAGTTGTGCCATATTCTCTACAGTAAGAGCTAACTCAGGCCCAATTTAGCTGGATCCCTGCAGAGATTAATGTACAGCATCATTTGTCATAGGGATATTCTTCAAAAATACCCATTTAGCCAAAATTGGCTCATTTTCCCACAGAATTCACTAAATAAAATATAAAAGAAGGGTCTTACCGAGAGACAGGGTGGCCTTTGGACCTAGAACTAAAGTATGTGGATCTGAATCCTGGTTCTGACACTTAAAAACTGTCTGTCTACATTTTATCCATCGGGACCTCTGTTTCCTATGGTTGAAAATGGAATAATGAAACTCTTAAGACCTGTCTCACAAGAAAGCATTCTACAGACCTTGAAAGGATTATCATTGCCACACTGACAAAACCACTAGAGCAACATCTAAAGCTCTTAATAATTCCAAATTAGTGGATGAATGTGTGCTGCTTTGCAGCTACAATTTAGCAACCCAGAAGAGATGATCTCCTGAAAGTAGACGGGAGATAAATGAGTCTGGAGATGGCTTGTCTGTCTCTTCTGATGAAGAAGTTTCTGAACAGCTACTCCCTGGATCATCTGCAAGGAGAGGAACTCTCTGGCCCTGGGGCCATTACGAGGTTATCTGCCAAGTCCTAGAGAGGCCAGCTGCAAATTAGTCTGAAAAGCACCCACACTGCGGGAATCATATCTTTGAAGTGTGAAATACATGAGAAATGCGAGCGCTCATGTCTTCCAAAAGTGAACATTTTACTTCTTCCACCAGAACCAGATTCAGTGGATCAATGGGCATTGAGTAGCAAATTTACTCAAAAGAAACCAATACATGTACTAATCTTTAAAGTAAATAACCCACTGGTCTATTACTCATAAAAGTTTAATGAATAGTATTTGTTTATATAACAGTCAAAACATTGCTTAGCCAACTAATCACACATAGCTAGCCGAGCATTACACAAAGCAAAAGGGAGAGTATGAGAATACCTCTCTTAGTTTTCAATCTAAAATAAACAGTGTCTGTCTGACCCGGCATTTCCCATTTTGTTCATCTACCAGGCTCTTACTGTTAGGCTGGAATTCTTGTCTTCGGGGCCGTTGGGGAAAAAGATGCTTTTGAACTGAGACACGTTCATTTCTGTCTCCTCAACAGTGCAGTTGAACTGGCTAAGATACCTTCCATAGCACTGTGACAAGGCCAGCTTGTATTGCTGCAATGTGAAGAATGCCAGGTTAGTTCTTTTTTTCGTTCATTCCATTTAAACAAAATTATTCACAGTCTTGAGGGGGTACATAGAACTTCATTTAAAAGCACCGTCTTGGAATTCGTGCAAATACCCTCAAAGCTTAAAAATCTTTTAAGCAGAGATTTTGACTAAAAATTCAGAGGTGCGAAAGAAGCTTGAAGGATGAAAAAAAATTCATGTCATTAATGATCAAGTGAGGCAGTATGGCATAATGGATAGCAAGATAGCTTAAAAGCCAGAAAGGCCTGAGTTCCAATCTCACCTCTGACACATTCTGGCTCTGCTACCTCTGGTGAAGTCTACTTAAATACCCAGTGTACTAAGAAACTCTCTGAGACTAGAACAAGGGTTCCCAAGATCAACTTTTTTTTTTAGTATTTTGATAACTGTATTTCAATATAATTGTTTCCTTTGCAATCTTATATATTTTATTTTATGCACTTAAAAACATTATTCTGAGAAGAGGTTCATAGGCTTTATCACATTCTGCCAAAGGGGTCCAGGATATAAAAAATGGTTAAAAACCCCATCTAAAAGAGATGCCGACCTTCTCATTGCAAGATGGAATTTCCTTACATGGGAGTTCCCTGTGTGAATAAAAATCTCAGGCCCAATCCCTTCCCCTATCGACTAATTCATCACAGAAGAATGGACGTGTCAATTCTCTGAAACAATATCAAAATGCTTCTTAAGGTCCGTTATAATTTTTCACGGAAATGTCATTATTTTCCCTTATACAAATTAAAACTTACGTGCTGAGCAGACTCCAAGATCCCAAAAATACTTGCTTCCATAATTCACTAAATCAATTTCACAGGATTTGTGTAAGACTAATACACAAAAGATACCCAACATCCATGGGTTATCACTATGCCAACCAGAAACCCAACCCATTCAAGAAAACAAAGGGCAAACAGAATAATAAGATGTGTTTAGTCTGAACATACAACATTTATTGAAAATAGCAATAGAGACTTCTGGAACATATTTCTCTGGAGTGTCTACATTATTGTTGTCTTTCTTCAGTAGTTTCAGTTGTGTCTGACTCTTCATGATCCCATTTGGGGTTTTCTTGGCAAAGATACTGGAGTGGGTTGCCATTTCCTTCTCTAGCTCATTTTACAGATGAGGAAAATGAGGCAAACAGGGTTGAGTGACTTACCCAGGGTCACACAACTTGTAAAACACCTGAGTCCAGATTTGAACTCAGCTCTTCCCGATTCCAGGCTTGGCACTCTATCCACTGTGCCACCTAATTGCCCTACATCATAATTAGATATTAATTCTGCAAGTTATTGTATCTTGCATGCAAACTCTTGAAGTGAAGGACAGATAGAAGAAATAAATGCACCAGTGACCAGGAGCTGCAGAAGTAGACATCTCTGGGTTTGGTTAAAAACAGGCAAAAAGACCATCTATCCAGCACAAATGGTCTATTTAATGTTTAACAGTCAGCTAGTCTGATGGGAGAGAAAACAGGAGAGATGTCTGATCAGGCCTCACATGCCTGATTTCATTTAACTTGATACTTCTTTTATTCACTTATCCTACTTCTGATTAGTAGTATATTAACTGTATAAGCCTTATTCCTCCTGCTAAAGCATAAGCTTGTTGAGGGCAGGAATCATGCCTTTATCATCTTCTTGTCTTCCCTAATGCCTGGCAAAAGTGAGAAGCAGTGTGGTATAATGGATACAGCTGACCTTGAAGCCAGGTAACCTCTCAGTACCCCAGATAACTCTGTGAGACTATAAATTTCAGAGAAGATGCCAACCTGCATTTGTAAAGGGAGTTGACTCATCCAGAAGTTCCCTGTATCAATAAAACCACAGGCCCAGTCCCCAGTGTCTAGCACCCCTTCTGCTCACTATGATTTTGTATAGTTCTAGAAATGCCAGCCTTTGGCAGTAAGAAAAGAGCAACATTGGAGGTATCAGCAACAAAGAAGCAGCAAAACTATCCCTATTTGCAGATGGCATAAACGACGTTTATGAGAACCCCAGAGAATCGGTGAAGAAACCAAACACCTCACATGGTGTCTACAGGAGAGAAAGGGGAAAGGATCCAAGAATTATGGCTACTCTTGCCTTGTAAAACATTGAAAAGAGGAGGGAGAGGAGACCATTGCAGAAGACATGGATGAGACCAAGCTAATCCAGATTATCTCAAAGGCATTTACGGGTGAAAATAAGACAACCAACCGACCACAGATGGAAGAGATATGCCACCAGAGGTCTATTTTCACCCTCGGTGATATTTGGACTCAATACCTCAGTTCCCAAAGTGGGACGTGAGGACGCGGAGACAGACCGAGGAAAACAAACTAAAAATAAGACAGAGCAACATCTGACCACGTACACACAGAAAAAATCCCTGCTGTAGGTGACAATTCCAAAAGCCCTGGTGCGTTAACTGTCAAAATATCTATAAGAAGGAATGATGCATATCATGTGCATTGTGAAACCAAAGAGTGATTAAGAAAATAGCATTAATAATAATAGCTAGCATTTATAGGTGTTTTAAGGTTTGTCAAGTGCTTTACGAGTGTTTTGTAGCTGGGCAGCTCAGCATATGGAGCATTAGAGCAGGATCCGAGTTCAAATGTGACCTCAAATACTTAGTAGCTGTGTGACCCTAGGCAAGTCACTTAATCCTGTTTGCCTTAATTCACTAGAGAAGGAAAGGGCAAACCATTACAGAATCTTTGCCAAGAAAACTCCAAATGGAATCATGAAGGCTAGAATGCAAATAAACAATAACAACAAAGCTTTGCCAAGTATTACCTCATTGTATCCTCACATCCTCCTGGGAGGTAAGTGCTACTACTTCCTTTCTATAAATGAGGAGACTTAGGCCAACAGAGGTTAAATGATCTTCCCAGGGTCATGCAGCAAGGGTCTAAGGCCATATTTGACCTCAGCACTTGCTGACTCCTGGCCCAGTGCTCCGTCCACTGTGCTACCAACTATCTGCACATGCGCCTATCTCATCTTTATGAGATCTCTTCGAGAGTGACCAATAGATGAAACAAAGATGCGTATCTTGGATTAAAGTCTGAAAGTGGAACAGGCAGACTTTCACAAGCGAGTTTCTATAACACACGAATGAAAAAGTATAGAGATTCCACTTCCCAGGCTATTTTTTATCAGTTATAAAAGAGTATGTTACTTGGCACAGTAAAACACAGACAGAAATACTCTCCTCCAAAAGGTAACCCCCTTTGCTTATCTATAGACAAGCATTTTTAAGGATAAAGACAAAAGTAAAAACAGTCCCGGCCCTACAGGAGCTTACACTCCATCAGGAGAGACACCTATAAATTTGCTGTTGTTCAGTCATTTTTCAGTTCTGTCTGACTCTCTATGACCCCATTTGGGGTTTCTTGGCAAAGATATTAGAGCAGCTTACCATTTCATTCTCCAGCTCATTTCACAGATGAGAAAAACCGAGGCAAACAGGATTAAGCATCTTGCCCAGGGTCACACAGCTAGTAAGTATCTGAAGTCAGATTTGACTTCACACCTGGCACTCTACCCACTGTGCCACCTAGCTGCTCCTGCAACACCAAGCAAGCTAAAAAAAAGTATGTCCTTCTTAAAGTCCAAATGGAAGAAGGGTTCCTGAAACGTGTTTCAGATGATCTATTTACACATAATATAGAGCTATTTACATTTAACATAAAGCTAAAAGCACTAAACCTCAGAATACCATTAGACTTCCTCAGCAAGATTCCCAACCACTCAAGACATTGGTCTACCAATCTACACAATAAAAACCAAATGGATGAAAAATGCATATTGTCCAAACGGTGATACCATTGGATGCTATGACGAATGCCTCCCTTGGGATGAAAACAATTTTTTTTTCAATCCATATCCCTGAAATGCCCAACCACCTCATATTCTTCTTGAAGCAAACTGGGCGTGTGGCAGAACTAGAAATACAGGTGAAGGAAACGCTGAGCCTTCAGCAGAAGCCAAGACTCAGCCACGCTCCCTCTGTACCCATCAGACTAAATCCAGAAACCTAAACTACTCCATAGATCTGGGCACTGAGAAGTAGGAATTGTCTGAAAAAGATAATGCAAGCCTGAGCAAGAGCTGGGAACCGTAGGCATTGCTCCTATCCTCTTTAAGTCAGAGCACTCAGCACCAGGGGATGCTTGCAACACGGGAGACTGGGGGAGGGGGGTGAGCCATGCTGGCTACACAAAGCCAGGGAGGAGGAAAACAAACAGGAAGGGGTGTTCTGGGAGTCCTTTTGTATAAGGTGGGAACATGATGAATCAGCATTTCCTGCATGGAGTCCACCACACCCTAGATTAACCCAAGGTTGATCTCTGGCTGGTCCCTAGCCAGCTGTCTTTCATTTGCAGGCATCTTCGGCCCCTGGGGTATCTCAGCCACAAATTAAAATAAGGTGCACACCACGGGCCCCACTGGAGTTTTCATCATTACTCATTCTTTTGCTCTAATCAAAAAGATGTTTTTAATTTAACTGTTTAGTAAATTCTGAAATATATCAAACAAAAAATATTCATTAAGGAAAGGAAAAGAATCCTTTCCTTGACTTTTTGGTCCCATTTTTACCACTGGGGATACTCACTTGTATTTGAACAAGGCTGTCTCCAACCTTCAAAAGCTGCTCATTGTAATACTTGGGTGGCAGGCGGGCCTTATACTTGTTCCAGATATTGAACAGGGTGCTGACACTATAAAAATCCATAAAACACAATGACAGATCCCAGGTCAAAAGCAAATTCAAAATAACCAGTCAGTGGCCCTAGAAAAGCACACTTTAGATATACAAAATCATTCCAAAGGGCATCATCCTCATCATTCATTTGCATTACGAACAAAACATCTTTGGTGTTTACCTATAAGGAGCTCCCATAAACTAAGTTTGGCCCTCTACCATTTGACACCCAGATCTCTTGGCCCAGCCCTCACCTCTCTCCTGAGCTCCAGCCGTAGACATCACCGACAGCTGCCTGCACGTCACTGAGGCATCTCTCCCAGACTCAACATGTCCAAAACAGACCCAAATCTTTCCACCCTACCAACCCCACCCCTCCTCCTCACTTCCCTATTACAATTCAAGGCACGAGGACTCTTCTAATCAACTGGGTTGGCAACAGCTCCTTGCTAAGGAGAATAATCCCTCCATCTTTGTTCCAGAATCACCCAGTTTCTCCATGCCTCTTCAATCTTTCCTTCCGCACTATCTCTTGCCTCATTTTCATCAGTTGTGTGTGGCCCTGGGCAAGCCACTTCACCGCTGTCTGCCTCAGTGGCCCCAGATGTAAAACAGGAATAACAACAGCACCTACCTCCCTAGGCTGTGTTGAGGATCAAAGAAAACAATATTTGTAAAGTGCTTCACAAACCTTCAATGCTAGCTGTTGCTATGATTATTGATGATACCACTCAGATTCTGTCTCTGCTCAGGCTTACTCCTCACTGGGCCCCAAACATGATAACCCAAGGAGAGAAGGGCAGGGACCCAAATGACCACCACCAAAGATGAAAGCACATCTCGACTCCTTTATAGCCCAGGGAATAATGGCTAATCACTGGCAGCTGTGAGCCCCTTTTGCCTTCCAAGCAGCACCCTCTGCTTTTCAACTTGGGCTTCCATACCTGCCCATCTCCTCTTCTCTCTCTACATTCTTTCCCTTAATCTCACTTTCATCTATGCAAACAATTCCCAAAGCCTTCTCCCCAGTCTTGACTTCTTAATGAGGTCCAAGTATTTATTAAGCATCTACTAAGTATGTAGATTCCATGCATAACAAAGACGAAATGAAAAAGAGTTTCTCTGTTCAAAAAGCCAACATTCCTCTTGAGACAGATATGATGATATAATTATTATTAATGACAATGACAATAATAACTAGCATTTATATAACACCTGAAGGTTGGCCAAGCATTTTGCATTTATGATCTCATGAATATATTAATATATCTCATAATAGCACCAGGCTCACAACAGCTTTATGAGGTAAGTGCTATTATTAGCTCCATTTTACAGAAGGGGTAACTGAAGCTGAGATTAACTGAATTGCCCAGGATAACACGGCTAATAAATGTCTGTCTTGATACACATGACTATTTGAGGAAGAAGAGAGCAGTAACCAATAGGGAGGTTAGCAAGGGCCTCCCCTAGCATGAGGCATATGAGCAGAGCTCTGGAGGGAGCCAGAGGAGCCTAAGGGGCAGAGGTGAGGACGGAGTGCCTTCCACGCATGGGAGACAGGCCATGTAAAGGCTTGTAAGAGAGAGATGGAAAGCAAAACACATTAAACAGCAACCAGGCCAGTTTGCGGAGAATGCAGCTTTCACAAGGGTGAAATGTAGCAAGTCTGGAAAGGCAGGCTGGAGCCAGACTGGGAAGGGTTTTAAATGCCAAACAGAGGAGCTCAGATTTGACCCTAGAAGAAATGAGGAGCTATTTGCGGTTCTTGAGCTGGGGAGTAACCCAGCAAAACTGCATTTCACAAAGACTACTTTGGCATCTGTGTGGAGCATGGATTAGAGAGGGAAGACACTGGAAGCGGGGAGTCCAGTTAGGAGGCTTTTGAAATAGTCCAAGCAAAAAGTGATGAGCACCTGAACTAGGAGGGTGGCCATGTGAGCAGGAAGACGGGGACCAATGCTGGATCCATTGGGAAGGTAAAATCACTAAGAGTGGCAAACTAAAGGGAACATGAGGGAGGCACCAAGGATGATGCCAGCATTGGGAACCTGAGATGCCGCAAGGATGGTGATACCCTGAACAGAAATAGTGAGCTTGAAAGACAGTTTTGTTTTTGGCGTGTTAACTTTGACTGGCCTAGGGGACATCCAGTTGAAGATTCCAATGGGCAACTGGTGATGCTGGACTGGAGCTCAGCAGAGAGCTCTCTTCCCAGATGTGCCAAAAGCACATGGATATGTGTCCCAAACCACACTCTATTTCCCTCCCCAAACTTGCTTCTCCTCCCAACATCCCTGATTCTTTCTATGGCATCATCTGATCTCCCATGTTCATGATCTTGGCACCATCTTGGACTTCATATCCAAATAGCTGTCAAGGCCTGCTGAGTCCACCTCCACATCCCTACATAAATTCCTTTTTCTCCATCTTCACAGCCATCCACCACAAGTGCAAGCCCTAAATATCACGTATGTGGACTATTGCAACAGTCTCCTTACATATCTTCCCACCTCCACTCTCTCTCCATTCCAATCTGTCCTTCATGCCCTGACCAGAATAATCTTGCTCATACATAGCTCTAGCCATGTCAATCTTCTGCTAAAAATCATCAGTGGCTCCTTACTATTCCCCAAGTAAAGGTCAAATTCCTCTTTGTGACATTCAAAGTCCCCCCTGCCCTTCTGGTCTTATTTTATTACTACCTCCCTCTCTGCGACCAACTAAAATGGAATGATTCTTTGTCCTACCAAGCAAGGACTTGCTTCTCACATATTTCAGTACTTTTGCTTAGACTGTTTTATTCGCTTTAAATGCCTGCCTCCCCTGCTTAGCCTACTGGGATCCTACTCATCCTCTAAAGTAACTACAGAACATCAAAAACCGCCTCCTCTAGGAAGTCATCCCTACAACCCTCCTAGGTAAGGACGGCTTCCCCTCAGCCCTCACCATAGCTCTTTGTTAAGTTACTTTTTTTTTTAGGCAATTGGAGTTACGTGACTTGCCCAGGGTCACACAGCTAGTAAGTGTCAAGTGTTTGGTCTGAGGCTGGATTTGAACTCAAGTCCTCCTGACTTCAGAACTGGTGCTTTATCTACCATGCCACCTACTTGCCCCCGTTATGTTACTTTCTAATGGAAGGTGCTCTTAGCTAGAAACCCAAGGATAGATTTCAGTAGGTCCATGAACTTGGATGGGGGAAAAAATTACATCTTCATTTTAGTATGACTGTTTTCCTTTGTAATCTTATGTATTTTATTTTGCACTTTAAAAAGCATGATTCAGAGAGGTGTTCCATGGGCTTCCCCAGACTGCCGGAAGGGTCCAGGACACACGAAAGGTAATCCCCAGATCTAATGTATTTATTATATAAAGCTGTATATTATGGTCATATATGTCAATGCCTCACCCTTCCACTAGACTATATGCTCCTGGAAGCTGGGACCAAGGCCTGTGGCTAAACTTTGTCTCCCCCAGCACCCGGACCCCAGCACTCTGCATAAAGCAGATAAGGTACTTATTGTAGATGGCATTATATTTATGTAATATTACATGTGTATTTGTAAACTAGAAGGATTGGACTACATGGCTTCTGAGGCCTCTATGAGCTCTAAGGGTGTGATCCTGTGTGTGACCTTTAACAAGTCACTTTACTTTCCCTGGGCCTCAGTTTCTCCATCTATAAAATGAGGGGGAAGGGTAGACTTCATGATTTCTAAAGTCAATTGCAACTCTAAATCTATGCTCCCAGGACCACCAGGGACCTGAGTCCTTCTATCCCAACAGCCCCTCCAACCCTTCTCCTCCTTCCTCCCTTGTCTTCCTCTATCTTCTTCTTTTCCCATCCTCTTCTCCCCTCTCTGTTCTCCCTTCTCCTCCTACTTCTGTTTCCTTCTCTCCTTCTTCTATCTCTTCTTCCTCTTCTCCTTCTGTTTCTATTCCTCCTCCTCTCCTCTTTCATTTCTCTCCTTTTTGTTATCCTACCTCTTCCTCTTCTTCTATTTCTCCTCTTCTCCTATTTCTATTTCTCTTCCTCCTCTTTCTATTCCTCTTCCTCTCCTCCTCCCCTCCTCTTTCCATTCCTCTCCTCTTTCTGTTATCTCCCCTCTTCTTCCTTCTATTCCTCCTTTTCTCCTCCTCTCCTATTTTTATTTTTCTTCCTCCTGTTTCTATTCCTCCTCCTGTCCTCCTCCTGTTTCCATTCCTCCTCCTCCTCTTTCTATTCCTCCTCCTCTCCTCCTCCTGTTTCCATTCCTCCTCCTCCTGTTTCTATACCTCCTCCTCCCTTCCTCTTTCTATTCCTCTCCTCTTTCTGTTCCTACTCTTCACCCAGCGCAGTGCCCCTCCATCACGCCCGCCCCCATCTCCGTCACCTAGCAACCATGCCCAGCATCCCCGCCCCGCCCCGCGGAGGCGGTCACCCGCGCTGCTGGACCGTCTGGCGCTCCTGCAGGGAGGCGGCCCGGCCCTGCTTCCTCCGGAGGAAGCCCAGCACGCCCTGAATCTCCCTCTGGAAGGAGGCGAGGAGCGGATTCTTGGCGTCCAGGGGCCCGTAGAAGGAGGCCGCGGGCAGCTCGGTGGTGTAGGAGGGCTGGGCGGGCGAGGCCTTCGGGGAGCGGCATTCGCACTCGGAGCCCGACTTGGGCGCCACGTAGCGCCTGAGCAGCGCCCTCACGGGCAGCGGCCGCGTGATGGACAGCAGCGTGTTCTGCGCTGGGGGCCGGGCGGCGTTGGGTGAGAGGCGTTGGCGGAAAGGCGACGCCGACACGGGCCAGACCGAGCCCGAGCCGTAGTCGATGCTCGACGGCGGGCTCCGGTAGGCCGCCAGCGCTGGGGGGTACTGGGGCACGGTCAGCAGCGCCGACACCAAGCTGGTGTCCTCCAGCGACGACCAGCTCAGGCCCGTGGAGGAATCCGACCAGGAGCCGCCCGACGACGAGCTGGGGAGCGGACTTCTCGGGGCCGAGGCCGCGTTGCCTAGGCCGGGGACCTTCTCGGAGTCCATGGCTGCTGCTGCGGCGGCGGCGGCGGCGGGCTAGACCTGGAGGCCACCAGCTCGGAGGGGACGCGCGGTTGCCGGGTGATGGTCTCCTAGCAACCAGGCAGCCAATCGGGAGTGGCGCCCGGAGCGCGGGGCGGGGCGGGGCGGGGCGAGCCAAGGCCGAGAATCGCAGCTGTGCTCCTCCCCTCCTTCCCGGGCTGGAGGAGCTGGGAGGTTTTGGGGGGAATCGCACCAAAGCCTGGTTTCGAGCTAGACGAGACCTTAGGGGCCCTTTATAGTATTATATCAGTGCAATATAATTTTAACATATAGTATTATACTTATATCAGAATAATTATGCCAGTCACAGTATTTTAGAACATTAGGCGTCATCTGATGCAACCTACCACGTATACACTATATTGTCCCCTTAGCAGGGACTTAACAATGACAATAATAGTTTAGAAAGCACTTTACATACATGGTGACAGCTAGGTGGCGCCATAGTGCATAGAGCCCAGTGCCTAGAGTCTTGAAGACTCCTCTTCCTGATTTCAAATCTGCCCTCAGACACTTACTAACTAGGTGACCTTGGGCAAGTCACTTAACCCTGTTTGCTTCAGTTTCTCCTCTGTAAAATGAGCTAGAGAAGGAAATGGCAAAAAACACTCCAGTATCTTTGCCAAGAAAACCCCAAATGGGGTTGATCCCAAAGAGTCAGACAGAAACAAATTACATGCATAATCTCATTTGAGTTTACAATATTTCTGTGTAAGATTAATAGGACAAGGGTCTTTATTTAGCAGATGAGAAAACTAAGAAAGATAAGTGACTTTTCCCATGGCCGCACAGTTATTAAGCAGAAGTCAGAATCTGAACCCACATCTTTGGACTTTCAATGCAGCATTTTATTCATTCTATCAGTAATTAGATTTTGGTCTCAGGACTGTTAAAGATATTGAGGATCTAGCCCAAAGAACTTTTGTTTATGTGGGTTATATCTATCAATATTTACCATATTAGAAATTAAAACATCTTAGTATTACTATGAAAATAATTTACTCACCCCCTGAAAGGGACTCCAGTGGTCACCTTGCTCAAGGTTACACTTTGAGGAGAATGAAAGGGGACTCGAATTTATTAAGTACCTACTATGTGCACAGCATTGTGCTAAAGTGCTTTACAAATATTTCATTTGAGAACAACAGCATTACACCAAAGTATTACGTTATAACATTACACTCCATATTACTGAAGTACACTAAAGTATTACATTATTACATTACACTCCATATTACTGAAGTACACTAAAGTGTTACATTATTACATTACACTCCATAATACTGAAGTACATTAAAGTATTACATTATTACATCATACTCCATATTACTGAAGTACACTAAAGTAATACATTATTACATTATACTCCATATTACTGAAGTACACTAAAGCGTTACATTATTACATTACATATTACTGAAGTGTTACGTTATTGCATTATACTACATGTTACATAACACTAAAGAAATGCTTAAATGAATAGAGACATTTTAATTCAAGTATTTATGAAGCTTCTGACAGGTACAAATCCACTGTTCTAGGCCTAAGGATACAATGTCCCTGTTTTCAAGGCTTTTCCAATCTGATAAGAGAGTAGTAGGATTTATGTACACAAATAATTGTGATGGAAGAAAGAGTTGCAATTGGCGCAAGGGTAGGGCCCAAAACAAACTAGAAGAAATCTGAGGAAGGAGGGACGAGTTTCAGCCACAATGGTAAGGATCCTGGCAGGCTTCATGAAAGGGGTGGCGTCTGAGCTGAGTCTTGACACAAAGGAAGGACTTCACTGGGGATTGGGAGAGGTGAGGTGAGCCAAGGCAAAGAGGCAGGCGAGGACAGAACAGGAACGGTAGATGGAATGATCCGCTGTGATTATCTTCCTCGAAAGGGGAGAGCTTTCTGGGTTTCTAGTCAGCAGAAGCCAGTTGAATCTCAGCTCTGCCTCTGACTACCTACATGAACTTGGTCAAGCCTTTCACCTAAGCCTCAGTTTCCTCAACTGTAAAACAGGACTGAGTGGACTGATTCCAACTCTACATCTAGGATGTTAAGGGCTCTGTCCTCATTGCCCTTGAGGACCCTAGCTTGACTTCCCTGCCTCCTCCACTTGTACTTCTCAGCCTCTGGCTGCCCAGGGAGCTTTTCAGTCTCTTCTAACCACGATTAGATAAAAATCGGTTTAAAGCTGTTATTAACTCCACACATGTCATGTCCTGAATGTTGAATTTAAAATAGCAGGAGACGGCATTAATTGTTTCATTTCATCATTCCCACATTGACAAAGCCTGTAGTGAGGGAGATGGAAGGAATCTGCCTTTACTCCTTTTCTTACCTCCCCCACATTTCCTGGGCGATAAAAGGCCAGATGCTCTGATTCTCAGTTTCCTCATCTGTAAAATGGAAAGAAAAAAAGGACATGGCCTAATCACAGTGTTGTTAGGCTCACAGAAGACCTTAGAGGCCACACAATCCAAAACCCTTGATTTGTAGATGAGGAAAGTGATTTGCCCCAGGTGAGTTGCACAGGCAAGAGTCAAACCTAGACTCTTAACCTCTGTCTGCCTCAGTTTCCTCAACTGTAAAGTGTGAAAAATTGTAGCACCTACCTCACAGAGTTGTCATGAGAATCAGATGAGATATTATTAGTAAAGTGCTTATCACATGCCTGGGCCATAGGATTGTTGTTATTGTTGGTTCTGTCGTTTCAGTACTGTCTGAGTCTTCCTACCAACCCCATTTGGGGTTTCCTTGACAAAGATGCTGGAGTGGTTTGACATTTCCATCTCCAGCACATTTGACAGATAAAGAAACTGAAGTAGACAGGGTAAAGTGCCTTGCCCAGGGTCACACAACTAGTAAGCGTCTGAGGCCAGATTTGAACTCAGGTCTTCCCAACCCCCGGCCCAGGTGCTCCATCCACTGGGCCACCTAGCTATGAAATACTTGACAAACCTCAAAACACCATATAAATGCTAGCTGTGCCTCTGGCACATAGTAGGTGCTTAATTGAAACTTATTTCCTTCTAAGTACAGCGCTGATGACAGCTAAATACAGCCTCTGATGACATATCCTTTATTGCCATTTCTCCTGCTCAATTACTGATTAATAATCAATAACCTATTCTCAATGACTATTGATAACTAACTATAATTTATTAGTATATTCATCCATATATATACTTGGTAAGATCTTGGTGACTTCCAAGAACCAGATACATCAGGATGATGAATATTTTAGCCAGAACAACTTCTTTTGTTTTAATTTTTTTTAATCATGAACTTTATAAACATAAACATTTCAATGTATACAATACACAGAAAAGAGTACTGTGTATGAAACAACTTTTGTTAATATGCTGTTTGTTTTTAAATGTATGTTGTATTTAATAAGGAAATAATAAAAATGTCTGCTTCTGTCCCCTTCTGAACTTATTTCTATTTCCTCTTTTCTTTTTAATGTTTTATTGGTGGTCATTTCTTCCTTATTTTATTTTTTATATCTCAGTCACTACCCATTTACTCTCTCTCTCTTTTTCTTTTTCTGGTGAGGCAATTGGGTTTAAGTGACTTGCCCAGAGTCACAACTAGTGAGTGTTACGTGTCTGAGGCAGATTTGAACTCAGGTCCTCCTGACTCCACAGCCAGTGCACTGTCCACTGTGCCACCTAGATGCCCCCTACCCATTTACTCTTGCTCCCCTTTCCTTCCACCCAAAGAAGCCCTCGCCTTGTAACAAATAAATAGACTTAGGCAAAGCCCATCGATGCATCAATCCTATCTTAAAATGTATACCTCAATTGTGGACCCCAAACCAGTTTTCAAAGATTAAAAAAAAATGCAGCCAAGTTTATATTTAATGAATTTAAAATATGTTACCAGTTAACAGAGACCCTATTTTCTTGTAAACAGAATAATGCCAAGCACAGCATTACAGACACTCAAAAATATGTCAGTCAGAAGCAAAGCATTTTAACAATCAAACTTCTTGCCTTTGTCATAGTTACAAACAATGCATTAATTTGAGAACAAGCAAGCACTAGTATTAGCTACTAAGTTCAATTTTCCATTTTCAATAAGACTCCCTGGCCTACCATCTGATTTATTTTAGTTCTGACCTAATTTCTTCCAAGCTCTATGGGCCTGTGCTAATTTTTACTGCTGGCCTAATACAGTACATTCATTGCGCTCAAATAGTCATTGAAAATGATGACACTTGATGTGATAATTAAATATCTCTGTCACCTTTTGGAAGCAACTCTAAAACTTCCTCTTTCTCTGGCCAAGATGGAACCTCATTCTCAAACAGAAGGGGAGATTCATGCTTTGATCATGGTAACTGAGTTTTCGTTTCTGAATGAACAATGAAGTCTCTAAATAAAGTAATTAATACTACCTGAAGTTTCTACCAGAACTTTTAAGTAAAATGGTAAAGAACTAAGAATGAAACCCAGTGAGTTTTAGCTCTTTCTCTTCTTTCCTTACAGGAGGAAGTGGTATACACTGGAAATTGTTTTAAATATCAACACAGAGGATGAAATTCAGGCTCTGCCCCTTATTAGCTACATGCCACCTGGGCAGATCACCCTTCACCTCTCTAGGGCTATTTCCTCATTTGTAAAATGAAGAGGTTGGCCTTGATCAGTGGGGTCAAACTCATATAAAAAGGGGAGCCCCTGAACTGTATGTACATAAGGATCTCCGCAGGCCACATGTTGAATTTGTTTTAAACTGTAGTATTATCCATGTTTCATTATATTTTCATTTATTTTGTTAATTATTTCCTGATTACATTTTAATCTGGTCCAGGCAGCACTCTGGAGTATTGCAGGCCCTGTGTTTGACACCTCTGACCCAGATCACCCAGCTCTAAAACATTATGATCTTATGTAGTTTTCTATTCTCAGGTAAAAAAAAAAACAGCATACTATTTGCCATTAAGTACTGCCAATGATGTTGATGAAGCAGAAAAGCAATGAGAAAATTGTTAGAAAGTGTAAACAGAAAAAAGGGAATAAATGAACAAAA